CACTCTATAACTTAATCGCCTGGTTTGGAATCCTAGTTTCCCTCTCTGAGTTTGGTTATGTGAACTTGAAGCAGTTTGGAGTTATCATTTTATTTATTTTTGCTATGTTGGGGCTCCTTCCCAGTCCTGCCACATGCTGGGCCTGTTGCTCTACGGCCTGGCCATGTCTCCCAGGCCCTGGTTTGGGGGCTTCGGACCAAGGAACTTAACCTCCCTGAAGATGCTTCATACGTCCAATGGGAGCAGTGACAATTCTGAATTTTATGGGCTTGTCAGCACCACAGGGATTCTTCAGCCCCGAGCACAGCATGGGGCCACTTACTGCTCTGGACCAACAGGGGCCGCTCTTTTATTTTAATTTTTATTTAGGCATTGCTCCAGACCGCTGTGCTAGCGGGTAGGGCGTTCGCCTTACACGCGGCCAACATGGCCGACCCGAGTTCGATTCCTCCGCCCCTCTCGGAGAGCCCGGCAAGCTACCGAGAGTATTCGATATGCCAGACACAGTAACAACAAAGTCTCCAATGGAGACGTTACTGGGCCCGCTCGAGCAAATCGACGATCAACGGGAGGGCCTTTACTTTACTTACTATTTAGGCATTGTGATTTAGAGTGGTGTTTTTGTTTTTGTTTTTGTTTTCTGTTTGTTTTTGCTTTTTGGGTCACACCTGGCGATGCACAGGTGTTACTCCTGGCTTTGCACTCAGGAATTACATCTGGTGGTGCTCAGGGGACCATATGGGATGCTGGGAATCGAACATGGGTTGGCCGCATGCAAGGCAAACGCCCTACCAGCTAAAGACCCTTTAATTGTAATTCTTATCATTGGGATACATGTTTGTTTGTTTGTTTTTCTTTTTTGGGTCATACCCGGCGATGATACACAGGGATTACTCCTGGTCCTGCACTCAGGAATGACTGCTGACGGGGCGGTACTTAGGAACTATATGGGATGCCAGGGATCAAACCCGGTCGGCCACGTTCAAGGCAAACACCATACCCACTGTGCTATCACTTCAGCCCCGGGATACATGTTTATAACAGTGTTGGCTCTGAGGCTTTTGATACATACCTTCGCTTCCCTTCTACACCACCCAAGTGTTCAGGCCCCTTAGCACTACCCCTGTATTACCAACCACCTGCCACCTCTTTCCCCCCATCTCCTCCCTTCCCACGCACTCTCATTTCGTAATCCAGGATCACGGGTTTGCCCGTGTTAATCCTGTCCATTCCCTTATCTTGTTACTCTGTATATCACAGATGAGAGAGAGTATCCGGTCTTTGTCCTTCTTTTGACTTCCTTTGCTTAATGTGAGATCCTCTAGTCCCATCCAAGTGGTGGTGAAGTGCATGATTTCACTGTCTTCCATTGTGTATCCACACCACAACTTCTTGATCCACTCATTTGTCTGTGGACACTTGGGCTGTTTCCATAGCCTGGCTGTGGTCTCAGCACGGTTAGGAACAGAAGCCGGCATGCATCTTTTTGAATGAGTGTTTCTGTTTTGGGAACGCTAGGAAGTGGAATCGCAGTTTTCTATAGACACTGAACCAGACATTGTTGCCAGCCGTGAGGGAGGGGCCCTTCACCATCACAGCCCACAAACCCTGATTGTTACTAGCCTTTGGGCTAGGGAGGTCATATCTGGTGATGTTCAGGACTTACTCCTGGCTCGGTGCTTAGGAATCTATCCTGGTCAGGATCAGGGGACCATATGGGGTGTCAGAGATCGTACTCAGGTCGATCGCATGCAAGCCCCTTGCCTGTGGAAGGTGATTCCTCTGATGCTGCATTGCCAGCCTTCTTCAACAGCACCATTCTCACTGGTGTGAGATGATGCCTCAGTATCATTTTGATTTGGATTTCCCTGATCAGGGATGAGATCAACTCTTTTCTGTACTGATCGAAGGGTGACTGTTCTCTTTTTGGCGGGAGGGTCACACCCAGGGGTTATTCCTGGCTCTGCACTCAGGAATTACTCCTGGCGGTGCTCCAGGGACCATATGGGATGCTGGGAATCGAACGCAGGTCGGCCGCGTGCAAGGCAAATGCCCTACCTACTGTGCTATCGCTCCAGCCCCGGGTGACTGTTCTTATTGCTCAGGTTGCCTCTCCAAGGGGCAGGATGTCATGATCAGGGCGTAGGGAGACACCACCATGTCACTGCATCCTGATCCTAGGATTAGCCAAGAAAAGGGTCGTGCTGTTAGCACTCCTCCCTCTGGATATTTGCTCCTCCCCAATGCCAAACTCAGAGAGGTAAAGTGGCCTGCCCTGGCTCAGAAAGCTCTAGAGGGGCCAGAGAGATAGCACAGGGATTAACCCTCCTGGCACCAAATATGGTTCCATGAGCCCCACCAGGAGTGACCCCCAAACTCAGAGCCAGGAGTAAGCCCTGAACACTACTGGATGTGCTCACCCTCCAAAATAAATAAGCTGTAGAACCATGCCTAGATCTGCACGTCCTTTCTTAGAGGGCGTGTTCTAGAACAAGAGCAGCATTGGACTTAGCTGGCTCTAATTTGGTTTCGGGTTTGTTTTTTTTTGGGGGGGGGGCAGCAATGATCAGGGCTTCCCCAGCTAAGGTGCACCGGGATCACTCGTGGTGGGACCCAGGGGGTCCCCATCTGGTGCTGGGATCAAACCTAAGTAGATCACATGCAAGGCAAGCGCCCTGCCCATTGTGCCAACTCTCCAACCCCTGGCTCAGATGTTGAGTGATTCCCCCAGTTTTGAGTCTTCTTGTGGGTTTTTATTTGCGGGGGGGGTCTGGTCACTGTTTCCTAAGCCTCAGTCTCCTGGGCACTCCCCCTCCTCCCTGCCGCCCGGAGAGGAGCACCAGTTCCTGCCAAGCCTCTCCCGAGGGTGGGTGGCTGGTGAGATAATGATCTTATCATGCTTGTTGCCTCTTGGAAGGCAGGTCCTGGAGCCTAACCAAAAGCGATTTGGTTTTCCTCCCTGTTCCCTGCACATTCCTTCTGAAGATAAATTTAGCCAGCCCTCGCGCTGAACGGAGGCCCAGGATGTCGACTCGCTGTTCTTTGAGTCGGTGGTGGAGCCCTGGGCTGGGAGTGCAGACGTGGGGCCGGCCCCTCTGTGAGCAGCCCTCGGCCCTGACCACATTCCAATGTGACGGGAGCATGTGCAAGCTCTACCCATGCCCTGAGCAGCTGTGTAGCACCTGGGGCCATGTGGCATTCATGGCTCTGGGTGAAGGGCCTGGACTTAGCTCAGAATTTCCATTCCAGAGATTCTTCCATTCCAGAGCCAGTCTTCCCACCTGTAAAATGGCCCTGTGGGGGGCTTTACCCATGAGGTTGCACTGAGATGCTTCTGTTGGGAGCTACACGCTGGTTCTTTGTTTCTTTGGGTTTTTTTTGTTTTTTTTGTTTTGTTTTGTTTTGTTTTGTTTTGTTTTTCTTGGTTTGTTTTTGGTTTTTGTTTTTGAGCCACGTACCTGGCTGTGCCCAGAAATCACTTCTTCCAGTGGGAATTATATGTGATGCCAGGGATCAAACCCGTGTCAGCCAAATGCAAAGTAAGCCCCTGACCTGCTGTACTACTGCTCCACGCCACTCCCCCTTACCATATTTTTAAAGGTCAGTCACCCCATCTATCATTCCTGACCTCCAGATATTTGCTTCCTTTTTGCTTGGGGACCACACCCAATAATGTTCAGGGGCTACTCCTAGATCAGTGCTCTGTGGCTGTTCCCAACAGAGTTGTGGAGACAGTGCAATGCTAGGAATTGAACTTGGGGATCTTGCAGGCAAAGGATGTGCTCAGTCCCTGTAAGCCATGGGCACTGTAGGCCCTTTCTTCCTCTGGGCATGCTCAGACCTCACCTTATTCCTGGGATGCTTGCCCCAGGCAGGCACTTGCCCACTTCATAGCTAGCTCTAATAGGAAACCAGAGTGTGGCGCTTTGCATATGGGAGCACTTTGCCCAGGGCAGACAGAGCCAGAAATGCTCCCCCTGTAGAAGCCTCCTGCCCAGTGCAGTCTAAGGCTTGGTCACCATGAGACAGTAGGCAAGTCCCATCACTACCCCAGGCATGTCAGAAGAACACCCACCTCGCTGTGCCCAGGGAAATTTCTGGGCAGTTGTTCACAGGAACCCCAGTACACCCCCAAGGCTCCCACAGTCGAGGCAGAGAAGGGCCTTGCAGACAGCCTTGATCTTGAGTGAAACTGGCCCTGAGTGTCAGAGCCTTTATTAAACCTGGAAGCCTCCTTGGAGCCTTGTTTGAAAATTAGAGCCATCAAGGGCCAGGAAGAAGGTTTGAAGAGTTGGAGGAGCTGCTTTGAGTGAAGGAGGTTGGGTGCAATCCTCATCACTTCATGATCCCCCAAGCACCAAGCCTGGAGTAGCCCATGAGCACTCCTGGGTGTGGCCCAATCATCTCTGCACCAAGAAATTAATAGAGTAGTCACATCCTGTTGCCAAGTTTGTGTCGAGGGCAGAATGAAAGGAACTTGTCTTGTAATTCAGTCAGCAGGGACAGCCCAGCAGCAGTGTCCGGGCCTGGCTGTATCCTGGAACCCTGGCCACACCCTTAGCTTTGGTCAGTCTTCGGGGCCACTCTCTGAAGCCACAGTGTAGTTTGAATTCTCTTCACTCACAGTGACAGAGTGTCTCAAAGAGGTTAAGCAGAGCAGGCAGGTAGCAGAGAGCATACGCGCACATACACCCCCCCCCACACACACACACGCACATACACACACACAGGCGTGGAGGACTCTAGCAGGCAGGGGTGGACTTGGGCAGCGAGCCAGGCCTGGGGATGCCCAAATGGTTCAGACTGAAGAAGATGTCAGGAGGGTGAAGGAAAGGCAGAAGGAACCCCCTCCCCCACCCAGAGGTCACCTGCTGATCATCAAGTGAGGCTGGAGTCCAGGGCTGCTGGGTGCATGAGGCGCAGAGATTCTAGAACCCTGAAGGCTCGGGCAGGCAGCCACAGTGGGACCCCCCCCCCCCCCTTTTCCATCTGGCCTCCAGGTTTGCCAAGTACTACAAGATGGAGAACGGCAGTGAGTACCGCACACTCCTCAAGGCCTTCGGCATCCGCTTCGACGTGCTGGTCTATGGGAACGTGAGTCCCCAGCTGCTGGGCTGGATGGGAGGAACCACAGACCCATCCCAGGGGGCAGAGGCTCCTCAGTGTGTGTGTGTGTGTGTGTGTGTGTGTGTGTGTATTGGTAGGGCGGGGTCAGGTCTTGCCACTGGCTGGAACCGAGACCCTCAGCTGGTCATAGCCCCACACCCTCACCTGTCCTGGGTGGGTGCTGGGCACCTATCAGCTGTGGGGAACCTTCTGCTGTCCTGAGCCTCTTGGTCAGGGCCGGGCGGCCTCCACCTCACCTCACCAGCCTCGGTCTTTGTGCATCCAGGCCGGCAAGTTCAACATCATCCCCACTATCATCAGCTCTGTGGCAGCCTTCACCTCCGTGGGAGTGGTGAGTTGAGGTCGGGCAGGGCGGGGGCTGGCTGGCCAGCAGGGTCCCACCCGGGGTGGCCATGCTGCTGGCTCGGCAGCCACCTCCATCATGAGCATCTCGGCCCTGCTCGGGACGGCCTCAGCCTCCACAGCTGCCTCATTTGCTGGAGGCATCGCTGCCGCTCCCAAGTTCCCTTTGCGCACCTGAGTGTGTGTGTGTGTGTGTGGGGGGGGGGTAGCGGGAGCAGAGTCCAGGCATCAGGAACAGAGCCCAGCTCTGAGGGACTTGTCATCCCTCTATCCCCGACCAAGTCCCCGCTCTGTGGTCCCCACTGGATGCCTGTGAGGCAGGATCTGGGGACAGTGCATGAAGTCACTGGACAATTACCTCAGAGGAAACGGCCATCCTGGATGACACCCTGGCACACACCCCTCCCTCACCTCCCCTGAGCGCCCGCCCCCAGTTGCCCGCTCTCCTGCTGGTCCCCTGAGCCCCCCACCTTCTCCTTAGGGCACTGTACTGTGTGACATCATTCTGCTCAACTTCCTCAAGGGCGCTGACCAGTACAAAGCCAAGAAGTTTGAGGAGGTGAGGAGGGCCCTGGGTGGGGTCCAGGGCCTGACTACCCCATGCTTCACCTTTCTGGGAGTTCCCTAGGTGTGGGGTATACACCTGCTGGGTGTCCCAGAGGAGTTGGGGGTCCTGTAGATATACCCCGGCAGGATCCCCTACATTGGGGATTGTGGGGAGATACCCCTAAGAGCCAGGCACACAGACGGGCCACCATGAGCCATCTGTCCTGCCTACAGGTCAACGACACCACCCTCAAGGTGGCCGCCTCAGCCAACCCCGTGTTCCCCAGCGACCAGGCCACCGAGGAGAAGCAGTCCACGGATTCGGGGGCCTACTCCATTGGCCACTAGATCCTCTTCCTGGGGCCCCTGTGCTGGCCTTGGGGCTCCAGGCCTCCCCTTGGGGGAAGAGATTTGGGGAGGGGGAGGGACCCTCCCATTCTGTGTCGCCTGCAAGGGCGCTTCTGTCAAGACCCCCAGTATCTGAGCTTCCCGGCACCCCCAAAGAACCCCCTCCACTAAGACCAGTTCCACCCTTACCCCTTATCTCAGCCCTGCCTGCTCCCCAAGACCCTGGGGAACTGGTCCCTGAATCACTCCTCCCCCCAAAATAGATAATCATAGGAATGATGATTCCCAAGGCTCAAAGCAGCCTTCACAGTTATCCCGGAACTTAGCATAGTCCTAGCACGTAGACTCTAGTTTCCCTGTGTTGAGGTGCCCCAAGGTCCATCAGGCAGGAAGAGAGAGAGAGAGCTGGGGCCCAGTCCACACCCCCTCACCCCTAAGACATCAAAGATCTCACCCAGCTCAGCCCCAATCTGCTCAGTTCTGCCGGGAGAGAACCCCAGGCTCACCCCCAGAAGCCCAGGCAAGACCAGTGAGGGAAGAGTCCTTAGGAGCTCTTGCCCTAGGGCAGGAGAAGGCATGCCTTGCCCCACAGTTCTGCCGTGTTCTGCCAAGGCCCCACCCTGCTGGTGCGTCAGCCCTTCGCCAAGGCCAGGCATCCTCACCACGGTTCCCGCTCTGCCCAGCCGTCCGGAGTCATCAACAGCAGGGCACAGAAATGGCTCAAGAAAGCACGTGCTTTGCCTGCAGGAGGTCCATGGTCTGTCCTTGGCCCCACAGGGTCCCCTGAATACAACCAGGAGTGGCCCCCAAGCATGCCAGGTTGAAAATGCCCCAAATCTCCAACCCAAACCAATGTTGACAAAAGGCTCCAGCAGTGCTGAGCAGACCTTGGCCCTACAGCGTCATGTCAGGACATCTGCCCCTCATGTTAGCAACTAAAGCACCTTCAGAACCAGCTTGTCCTGTTCTCCTGCTTCCAGAGATGCCAGCTGGGACCCCGGAGGGAATGTGACTTGTCCAGGACACCACCGTGGTCAGAGAGAGTTCAAGAATGTCCTGACACTCAGGGAGGGGCAAGGACAAGAAGCTATCCAATTGCCCAAATGCCCTCCCAGTTGCAGTTGCCCAGATGTCCCCAATCCCCTTTCTGGGCTCCCTTAAAGTGAGGATGGGATCCAGAAACGGCCTCTGGGCGGGATGTGGCCAGTGCTGATGCAGTTTCATGAAGCAGATTTGGGGTGTCTCTTTCCAAACCAGCCAGGAGTCAGTGTCAGCGGGGCAGGGGATCAGCCCTGCAGTGTCAGCCTTGCCAGCTTCATGGTCAGTCCATCTGGGGAGTTGTAGAGTGGGCAGAGCCCTGAGGTCTGGACTGCCCAGGAGGCACCCAGGAGGAGGGCCGGCCCCTCCTTGGAAGGTGCAGGTGGGAGAGCAGGACAGAGCCCTAGAAGTGAGGGGGGGGGGAATCAAGCCACGACACTTGTAAAGATCCCACCCCAATGATCCCCCACGTCCAGGGAAGAAGGAATAAGATTCTCCCCTTCCTGCATGGGCCCATCACTAACCACTCGGCTTTCAGGCCCTTCAGTCCCAGAACGGCGGGGTAACACATACCCAGAGGCAGCGTGCCCAGCTCTGCCCGGCTCCATGTCCATCAGCAACTCTGACTCCACCTTTAGGAGGCAGGGCCGAGGCCGGACACTGGGTACTTTCCAAGGAGGGCAGCTGTGCCCCGAAGTACCCTCTCCCCAGCCCTTCCTCATCCTCCAGACTTGCACGTTTGGTCTCTGTCAGGGAAACTCTGTCCCTCCTGAACCTGCAAACATGTAGATTGGAGCCTCTCAGCTGCACCCCCTCCCAGCAGCTCGCTCATCTCTCGGGCGGTGGGTGCTGAGTCACAGAAAGCAGGGGGCGAAGCATTTCTCAGCACGGGGGCAGACCCAAGGCACAGCACCTCTGGGCTCTTCCGAATGCCATGGGGTCAGAAAGAAATCTCGAATACACGGGAACTCAACTGAAACCCAACTCGTGCCTCCCACTCATGGTTGCTGTCTGGTCTGCACACGAGAGAGCTCTGATACTCGGAGAGTAGGGGCAAAGCGCCCCTCGGGCGCATCAAACTCAGTCTGGTCTGTCAGAGCACTGCGCGGAGGCCAGTCAAGGTTCAGAAATGGGAAGGGAAGGGCTGGGACTCCAAGCCAGAGCTTTAGGATTCCTAAGTCTGGGCTCTCGCCTTCTCTGCTATGTTTGGAAATTTTGAAGCATGTGCAAGCTCCTTCTTTTCTGTACGCATCAGGTTATACCAGAATTAGCTGCAGTAACAAGTAAATTAAAACCTCCTGGTTTAACACACCCGCTCCCTCTGGCTGTGCCTTCAGAGACACCAGACTCCCAGGTCACCGACATCTGAGGTATATGACAGGCATCACTCAGAGGCCAGACCTGCCAGGGGTTCCAGCACTGGTAGCCAGCATGGGTCAGGCTCCTCTGCCACCAGGGATCCTGGGAAATACTGTTCTCCTGGGGAGGGGGAAATGCATTCTCTCCTTCATTGTCTCTTTTCTATAGTTTCTCTCCACAACCATCCCCAGTCCTTCCACTCCCCCCACACCTACTGTTACAAATATCTCTCCCTTTCTATTCATAAAACCTATTCTTCAACCAATCAGTCTCCCAGAGGTATTCTGCTCCTGGGAGTGTTGCATTTGAATCTAGAGTCTACCCTGAGACCAGAAGGTCCAAATGAGTGAATATATAGTGGTTGAAGTGAAAGTCCAAGAAAAGATGGTGGAAAAGGAGCCAGAGCAATAGTGCAGGAGGGCAGGCACTTGCCTCACATGCGGCTCCCTTTGCCTTGACTATGACAACCCCTCCCCACCACCACCACCACCACTAGGTGCTATGCAGGTGATTGCTAAGCACAGAGCAAGAAACTGCATCAGAGTGCCACCAGGTATGATCCCAAACCCCAGGATGGGGGGAACTCATACCAGAGCAGCACCCCTTCTTTGCACTTGGGAGACCACCATGTAGAAATCTCCGCACACATGAAGGTACTGGCAGAGGGACAAATCCACACGAGTTCCGGGGCCGAGATCTCCAAGCCTACGTGGACTGGGACCGAGCATCCTCCACCCAGATCCTCCAAATTCCAGTAGGCCGGGGTCACACCCACCAACTGGCCCCCTGGTGCCGTGTAATCCCATCAACGGCCAAGACTCAGAGACTATCAAAACCAGCTCCCGGAAGAGAACAGTGCAGTCTCCTGCCCCCGCGCCTGGCTGTCCTCGCCGGGGCCCCAGCTCCCGCAACCGCACGGCTGCATTTGCGGGCGCGCGACATCTTATTATGACATCTTATTATCTCATTCCTACTTTGGACAAACTGGCAGACTACTGAATGTAGCCTGCCCACACGGCAGAGTCTGGCAAACTCCCCGTGGCGTACCCAATATGCCAAATACCAGTAACAATGATGGGTCTCATTCTCCTAAAGAGCCTTGAATATAATCTCAGGGCTAGGATGAAGGAGACGTTACTGGGGCCTGCTCGAGGCAATCGATGAATAACAGGATGGTCGTGATTCGTGATGTAGAAATCAAAAGCTTCCTGCCACCCAGGGCTCTTCAACTTCTGGATACATCCATCTCCACCTCTTCTTGGAGCCAAAAACCCTTTGCAGGTTCTCTCTCCATGTCCCCTCTCCAGGACGCAGCACCAGGGCAGCAGGGAAGGCCAGAACCTAGAACTGTAGATGCAGGATGCGGGTCACTCTGTTGTCTAGGAAGCAACTCCCCCCTGAGAGCAGGAGGCATGGACATGGGGAGGATGGGGGCTGGGTGTCAGGGAGATAGTCATTCTCCTGGGAATGGTTTGGGGAATACACCTTAGAAGTGGGGACCGTTGAACTCTGTCATTGGACACCTTCCTCCCTCCACATGTCTGTCCACACAGGCCCTCATGGGTCCATCACAGTTCTTTTTAATACTTGTGGTGTGTGTGTTTTTGGCAGGAGGGCCGTTGGGTCACACTTGGCAGTGCTCAGGGCTTACTCGAGGTTCTGTACCCAAGGTCACTGCTGGTTATGCTAGGACACCATATGCGGTGTTGGGGATTGAACCATGTTGGTATCCTAACCTGCTGGCCAGTTTCTCCAGTTCCTCCAACAGAATTTCTTTTCTGAGGTGAAGGGCCACACATGGCTGTGCTCAAAGCTTACTTCTGGTTCTACACTCAGGGGCGATTCCTGGCAGAACTCGGGGAACCATACAGGGGTGCTGGGGATCAAGCCCAGGTTGGTCGTGTATAAGGCAGACACCCTACCTGTTGTAATATATCTCAAGCCCCTACACAAAAATAGTTGATTCAGCACCATTATCTGCCACTAATCCCCATATACACACGTGAAAAATCACTCCCAACCACGCATATAACACTCTGAATGCAAACAATGTAGAAGGGCCAGTTCTTTCTCTCCTGAGTGTGCAATCCTTGAAACTCCCTTTGGGGAGATCAAAACAGTCTCTTTGTTCATGTCCTGCACGCAGATGGCGCTAAAACTAAATGCCTCGGACACCATCCCCAGTCTCCATCACATGGTGGAAGCAAGTGCATTTAGCATTTTCCAGCGAATGAATTTTCAAAATGAGCAACTGAACAAAGGAGTCAGGAACTGCTGAGAGGGTCTTTATAGATTGATGGAGAAGCTGAGGGATGGAGCCAAGTGCCCCAGGACAATGAGAGAGAGGAGACTCCAGGGCAGGGAGATGGAACCGGAACTTCTGGAACCGGAAATGGAACTGGAACCGGCACCGCTGGTTTAGGCAGAGCAGATGAAGGGCAGCAGCTTTGTGCAATGAGCTCGCTTCCAAAGGCCCCCTAGCAACAGAGCACACAGAGATGTCAGCTGGCTCACAGCCTCTTTAGCAAACGTTCCACCTTCACTCCTCACCCCCCCCCCAGCTAATGCAGCAGATCACGGAGCTCTTCCTGGGAGGAGGTTTATCTTTAGACAAAAACTTTCATCCTCACGATTACCCCAGATTTGGTGCTATTTTCCCATTGCACCCATAAGGACACTGAGGCAGGGTGGGGTAAGCACTTGACTGTATCTCAACTGGCAAGAGCAAGGATGTGGAAGACTGATCCATAAGGACTCTCAGTCACTATCGAACCTCCTCATCTCTGGCATCCACATCTCTCTACAATAGCCAGAAATCTGCCAGCCAGGCACTATTCCCACCTCTTGGCTTCAACCCTCACCCATACCTGCATTTCTCCCAGCTGCTTTGCCTGTCACATCATTCCTTCACTCGTATCCCCTTTGCTCAGAGGGAAGAGATGACACAACCCACTTCCCAGACCTAGGACTGAGCTCTTCTGGGAGAAGGAAGAAGGCCACTTGGCCTCTGCCCCGGCCCATCAAGTTGCTTGGCTGTTTGCCACGGGAAGCCCAGTGTCAGCCCTCACAGCTATCTGCTGGATCTCGAATGTGGGCAGGGCCCGGGCTAGGACCTGTGGCCATCAGCTCAGAGGGACAATGGGTCAGTCAGAGTCATCCTCCCTCCACCACACTCTCACCTGGCGTCCATTCCCTCACCTTTGATGCACATGAACACACAGCGTCCTCCTCCATTTCCTGGCTCTCCTGGGGCCCAGTGTGTAAAATTCCAATAGCTCTCATCTGTCCACTTAAATTTTCTGGACAGGATCTAAAGGAAAAAATAGTCTGGATCAGAGGACAACCAATCCAAGGAAACAGTCTCTGGTGGTCACGGAGAATGCCTGGCCAGAGCACTGTCTCCCTTATGGACATTCAGTCTATGAATGGGCTCATCTTAAAACTCACTCAACCAGGGGTATGGTGCCGCCAGCAGGTCAACCTGTACCTGCGGGGTTAGTGCATCAGTCTGATGTTACCTTCAGGCTTCCTGATACCCCAAACTTGCCTCTGTGGCTTTGGCCATACCCCAACAACTTGGGAACAAGTTTACCAAGAAATTAAATGGCCAAAAGTTAGGTATGTGGAAGTCACATCCACAAACCACCTCCAGCTCAGCTATACAAGCTCACTCAGAGTTGGGATGGGCTACCTCCCCCACTTCCCAATACACCTGGAGGCACTGGCAGTCACCCCAAATAACCAACTCCAGCACCACCCTGTAAGCTCTGCTATTGGCCTTGCCTCAGAAACCCCTAAATAATCTCGAAAGAGATCAAAAGCCGCAATTAAGCTGGGACCCATACATAGCTGAACAGACCGGAGTAAATTGGGGGGGGGGGGCGGGTTGGCCTCTGCCCAACCAAGCAGAGTTCCCGGCAGTCACTTGCTTCCACAATCCAAAATTGCAGCCATACTCCAAGCCTGACTCCACCATCTCAGGATGGACCTCACCAAGATATAATCTGCTGAAAATTTTGTAATGTGGACCTTAGCACACCAACAGCCCTGACCCAGAGACATAGCAGCAAGTCCCAGAAGACACCACAGTGCTGGAGATCTCTTCGGGCCCCATACCAAGCCAATATCACCAGGGCACCACAGATGGAGCAGGTGCAGTCTCCCCACCTACACAAGATGGAATCCCAGTGACCAAGAGCTTTCACAAGCAAGACCCAGGTATGCGGGTTCAGGACTAAATCTCCAGGCCGCATGGTGGCAGAGAACCCAGGCTGTCCCTCCCCAGGTCACCACCTGCCCAGAAGACTGGCTGTCACGCCCACAATTTGCCTCTGGAAGCCATCTTAGCACACCAAAAGCCCTGGCCCAGAGACTCCCAATTGAATCCCAAAATGGATTAGTGCCATACAGAGACGTCTCTGGAACCCAACCATTTACAATCTAGAAATTTACATTTACAATCATGGCCGCTCGAGTTCTTGTGAATTTCGAAATGAGCTATGGAAATTATACTACCTAGCATTTGCCCTGGACAAGCTTGAGTGGTGGTGGGAAAATTCGAGCAAAATTAATGCCCCAAGTTAGAGAGTATTGGGGAAATTTTCTGCCATAGAGGCAGGATGAGGACTGCGATGTGTATGTATGCGGGGTGGGGGTGATACTTGGGACAGTGATGGTGGAAAATGTGCACTGGTGGAGGGATGGGTGTTTTATCATTGTATGGCTGAATCTCAAACATGAAAGCTTTGTAACTCTATCTCACAGTGATACGATAAAATAAAAAAGTAATGTGGAGTTCATGCCCAATTCAATCAGCTTAATCAATGGCTGAACAAATAGCAGTACTCCTACATTATTTAGAGAGAAAAAAGAGAGAAACTCAGATAGAGAAGGGAGCACCAAATAAAGGGTGTTTGGAGGATCCTCCCAGGAGGGAAGATGCATGTTGAAAGTGGACTATGGACTGATCATGATTGCCACTCGATTCCTCTTTTGCAGACCACAACACCCAAAAGGAGAGAGACAACAAAGGGAATGCCCTGCCACAGAGGCAGGGTGGAATGGGGGGGATGGGATGGGAGGGATACTGGGATCCATAGTGGTGGAAAATGGGCACTGGTGGAGGGATGGGTGTTTTATCATTGTATGGCTGAATCTTAAACATGAAAGCTTTGTAACTCTATCTCACAGTGATACGATAAAATAAAAAAGTAATGTGGAGTTCATGCCCAATTCAATCAGCTTAATCAAAGGCTGAACAAATAGCAGTACTCCTACATTATTTAGAGAAAAAAAAGAGAGAAACTCAGATAGAGAAGGGAGCACCAAATAAAGTGTGTTTGGAGGATCCTCCCAGGAGGGGAGATGCATGTTGAAAGTAGACTATGGACTGAACATGTTTGCCACTCAGTGCCTCTTTTGCTGACCACAACACCCAAAAGGAGAGAGAGAACAAAAGGGAATGCCCTGCCACAGAGGCAGGGTGGGATAGGGGGGTGGGGGTGGGAGGGATATTATCCATGGTGGTGGAAAATGGGCACTGGTGGAGGGATGGGTATTTGATCATTGTATAATCAAAACCCAAGCATAAAAAATTGTAAATCTACAACTGTACCTCATGGTGTTTCGCTAATAAAAAGAAAAGAAAAAAAAAAGAGAGAAACTCACTCAACCCTCTACTCGGAGACCCATCAGCCCCAAGAGTTTGTGACTAATACCAGGGAACCACAAAGACTTCATGGGGTTCACTACACACCCAAGTTTCCTGGGGGTCTTATGAAAATTCAGGCTCAGGTCTAGGGTGCTTAGGAGTAGGGCCCTGCTAGGGTTGGACATTCCTAACCAGCCACCTGGGTACGCAGGTAATGCTGGCCCGGGAGCACAATGAGTAGCAAACCCCTGGGCTCTTATTCATTTGCCATCACTAACTCGAAGAGAAGGACCCTGAGGGAAACAGAAGCTCCCAGGAAGCTGGTCAGTCTGTGATGAATGCATGAATGTTTAGCCACCAGCTGTGTGGGCAAAGTGAGAAGGCAGAGGGAAGGGAAGTTGGACCCGGAATCATGCACCACCTATTGTACCAGTCCTCGGCAGATGTCAAGTGACGAGCATGAAGTCACTGGACAGGGACTCAGGAAGAGAGAGGTGCCCAGAGTGGGGGTTCTCAAAAGCCAGAACACCCCTGCCTGCTACTATTGTCATCTCAGCTGTCAGTGTTCAGCGGGGCATCCTGGGGGCTGTCAGAAAAAAAAAATATGTGTCCCTGCAAGGTGGGTGCTCACTTACCCAGTGCCTTCGGGTTGCTCCTATCCAGACCTGGCCTTGGTTAATCCCAGTGGCCAAATAACGGAGTTGATTATTGGTATTGAGGTTGTGGATGGAAACGAGGTTGCCCTGGTAGAGCTTGCTGCACGTTTTCTGCAAAGAGAAGAGGATGGGGGGGGGGTACGGGAGAGGTTCACCCTGGGTTCCTGTCTAAGAAAGAGGCTCAGAGTCCTGCTGCCTGTCAGTAGCCAGGGAACACGTCTTTCCCCTCAATCCCATTCCAAGCTTTTGTCTTCAGCAACATTTTTTGTCTGATTTTGGGGCCACAATCATCTGTGCTCCTACTCTATGTTCAGGGATCACTCCTGGCAGGACTCGGGGGGCCCTATGGGGTGCCGGAGATCAAATTAGATAAGTTGTGGTCAAGGCAAGCATCCGATCCATTGTACTACCTCCCCGGTCATCAGGAACATCTTGCAGGGAGTAATATTAATGGCCAGAATAATTACAGTCACCATTTATGGAGAGTTTTGCCATGGCCCAGGGACTGTTCCTGATACTCCAGGTCTCAGTTCAGCCTCATCCTGAGGCTAGCAACTTGCTGCCACATTTCTTCATGCTGGTTACAGCTGGCACTACCTCTCCTCTCTACAAATGCAGACACAAGGTGAAGTCACCTGCAAGGACACTGTCCAGGAAAGGCCAAGCCAGCGCTTCACACAGGGTCATCTGAACCAGAGACCTTTTGTGTGAATCTCTGGGTCTCCATGTGCACTTTGCACTGCACCAACATCATCACCACCTAGGAACATGTTCTAAGTGCAAACTTGAGGCTGTTAAGCCAGAGATCTGTGTTTTACCAAGATCTCATGAAGACACAGAGTCACTCACGCTAGATTTGAAGAACTACTAGTCTGGAAGAAGAGAAAACAGATGCTTGAATCTTCTCTCCTACCCTAGCGTTCATACACACACAAACACACACACACACACACACACACACACACACACACACACACACACACACACATTACCCTGGAGCTTCCCAGAAGTTTCCCTGCCACTTACCTGAGCTTCCCAAAATGCCTGGGGCTTCCTCACCAACACATAGCGACAAGTCTTACACTCAGGAGTGCCCTGCAATTGAACTGCCTCCTCTTCCTTGGGGCACTCAATATCCTCTGGGGCAGCAGGGTCTGAATCCAGGTTGTCCTCATCCTCAAAAGTCTCTTGACATCCAGAAGCCTCAGCCTCCTCTTCCCCTGATGGAATCTCCTCCCCATGCAGTGCTAACACGCCCCTCTGCTCCTCAGAGTAGTCCAGTTTCTGGCTCAGGTCAGCCTGGTTGTCCAGACACTCTGGAGGGGGGGCATTGTCCCCTGAAGAAGAGGTAACCTTCCATCAGGTTGGAATCTCCTAGGACCATGGACAGTATCACACACACAAACACACACATACAGACATACACATACACAGAGACATACACACACATACACTCACACAGACATATATACACACTCACACAGACATACAGACATACACACTCACACAGACAAACACACATATACACTCACACAGACATACACACATACACTCACACAGACATATACATACATACAGACAGACACACATACACTCACACAGACATACACACAGACTCACAAAAAGACATACACACATGTACACACAGAGAGACAGACACACAAGAGAGAGACACACAGACATATACACAAACACAGAGAGAGAGACACACACACAAACACATGTCTTCCAAGGGCCTCCATGTGGAGGCAAGACTAGGAGGGTCTAACTCAGTTTGGGTAAAGCCAGATCTCTGGGCCCAAGTGTCCAGAAGGGTGAGAGCCTCACCCCATAGGTGAGTATTCTGGGGGTGTGAGAAGCACCCGTGAGAAGGCCTTTGACTCCCCAGGTGGCTTTTTTTTCTCCCTGTGAAGGCTCCTAGAGAGATATTGGTCACAGCTCTAAGTTTCACAGAAACCTAGTGTGAGAAGCATTGACTGGGGGCACCCAAGAAGTCAAAACTGTGGCCCTGGCCCAGGAGAACAGGCACAGGGGGAGAGAGCAATGGCTGAGAGGGCCAGGCAGGACTCACCCAGGTGGCGCGCAGAGACAGTTCCTAGCAGTAGAGGTAGCAGCAACGGCAGCTTCATCTCTCCAGTCGGCGACTGCGACGGGGTCACAGCACCTTCCCTGCTTGTGGGTGTCGCGTGCCTCTGCACAGTCCCTTGGCACAGAGCACAAATGCAGTGTGTGAGCTGGCTGGTTAAAGGTAAGCTAAAGAGTATCACTGTCTGGGGCCGGAGCAATAGCACAGTGGGGAGGGCATCTGCCTTGCATGCGGCCGACCCGGGTTCGATGCCCAGCATCCCATATGGTCCCCCAAACATTGCCAGGAGTAATTCCTGAGTACAGAGTCAGGAGTTATCTCTGAGCATCGCCAGGTGTGACCCAAAAGGGAAAAAAAAAAGAGTGTTACTGTCTTCCTAAGAACACACCCTGAGCTGTAGCACCTAGGACAGGTCCCAGAAATGTCAACACCAGGACCTAAGTCCCTTTCCCCTGGGGGCACCCACAGTGCTCCTGGGATAGCAATTACTCGCTCCCCTGCTAGATTGTGGCTCCATAACATGCACCCATACTGGCTCCCTCCCGGACAGAGGGGGAGGGACCCTAATCAGTGCTGAGCAGAAGCCTCCAAGGTGTTGGCCACATGGATTCCTGCTTCCTCCCAGCCCTGGACTCTCCACTCTGGGCATCAAGGGATGGAGAGACTCACCTAAGCATCCACTCTCAGAACGGCTGACTGCTGAGCCACTGGGGGGACCCTTATATTAAGCTTTTAGGGAAGTGGAAAGAGGCTGTTATGATTGCTCCAGGTGGGGGATACGGGGGCAGAGTTGCTGATAAGAAATTTGCTTAATTGAGGGGTGGGAGGGGTGATGGAAAGTAACCTGGGGACTCTGGTGCTGGGAAATGTACACTGTGGTGGGATGGGTATTAAAATACTGTTAGATTGAAATCTAATCCTGAACAGCCTTGTAAGGGTCTATCTCAAAGTGATTGAATAGCACAGCGGGTAGGGCGTTCGCCTTACACGCGGCCAACATGGCCGACCCGAGTTCGATTCCTCCGCCCCTCTCGGAGAGCCCGGCAAGCTACCGAGAGTATTCGATATGCCAGACACAGTAACAACAAAGTCTCCAATGGAGACGTTACTGGGCCCGCTCGAGCAAATCGACGATCCACGGGAGGGCCTTTACCTTTACCTTTTACCTTTTTAAAAAAGAAATTTGCTTAATTGTTATACTTCTGCTTTGATATCAGGGGATGCCTACAGGAACCTACCTCCTGGGACCTACTGCCATCTGTGGGTATCTTGCCCTGAGGTGTCCAACTCTGAACAATTTCCACTTAACCCAGGACTGACTCTGACTGATGTCTCAGAAGAGAGCGGAATAATGGAGGAAAGATGGGAGAGGTACAAAGTGAACCTCAGGCCACCTGACGTCCTCTGTAGACCAGTTACTTCCTATGCACTCAACCCATCACATCCCTGGAAGCGCATATCATCATCCTCCCTCACAGATAGGACAGTGAGAATAGATAGAGACAGTGACCAGCCAATATTGCAGAGGAATAGGGCTGGAGCGATAGTACAGCAGGTAGGGCGTTTGCCTTGCATGCAGCCAACCCCGCTTCGATTCCCAGCATCCCATATGGTACCCCAATCACTGCCAGGAGTAATTCCTGAGAACAGAGCCAGGAGTAACCCCTGTGCATCGCTGGGTGTGACATAAAACAGCATATATATACATATACATACATACATACATACATATATATGTATGTGTGTGTGTGTGTGTATATATATATATATATATATATATATATATATATATATCACAGGAAACAGCGGGCTAAATTTCCAAAGCTTCTCAGCTACTAAACCTCTCTTTGGCCTTCTCTCTTCCTTCACTCTTCTCTCCGCAACTTGACTTTTACCTCGCTCCCTATCCCTCTCTCATACTAATCTTGAAGCGTAAAAGCCTTTGTTCTTGCTTTTCGACCAAGGTTCTCAAACTTGCACCATTACTATCCGAAGCCAAGTAATTCCTGGTATACGAAGCATGGTGCAGAGTTTAGTAGAATTCTCGGTCTCTCCCTGCTTTAGTCAATAACTCCTCCCTTAGTCATGATGATCAAAAATGTCTTGACATGTCTCAGGAGCAAAACTGGCCCAGTTTCCGATTTTTGATTTAGAGCCACCCTCCAACGTACCTTCTAAATATATGGCGACAGTCAGAATGGGCAGTACCCTGGAGAAGCATTCAGACACTCTGGGGGATGCTCTCCTCACCCCATTTCTGACTCCATCTCTCAAGAGTCTAGAACTAAGAGGAACAGGAGTGAGGTGTTCATTTGGCCCTCGGTTGCAAAGTTAAAGGGGTAAGAATTCAGTGCATGCCCCACAAAGGAAGTGTCATGGAGCTTGAGCTGTGCAATAGAATACTCTCACTGCGTGTATGAGGCCCTGGTTTCAATCCCCAGCACCAATAAAAATAATAACAAGAAATTCATTGATACAGATTAAAAAAGCAACCTTTCTTTAAAATAAAAGTAAGTGCTATAAGCCGATGTTGAACAAAATATCAAAACTTGATTCGATGGGGCTGCTGAGATAGTATGACGAGTAGGGCATTTGCTTTCTATGTGCCATGCTGGACCCAGGTTCAATCCCCGGCATCCTGAATGGTCCCCCTGGGTACCAATAGGAGTATTTCCTAAGTCCAGGAGTAACCTCTGAGCATTGTCGGGTGTGACCCCCAATCAAAAACAAAAGCATCAAATCTTGAATCCCCCAAGTAGCAGCCATACTCACTGACCTTCATAGAGAGGCAAGCCCTGACTTCCATGCCATATCCCAGAGCCAATGGGTTTGTCCCAGAGGAAAGCTCGGAGGCATCCTTGCTGGGCCATGGGGATTGGCTCATCATATTCCAGCTCTCAGGGCAGCAGGGCGAGTTAAGGAAGAGTGTGGAAATACCTGAACTCCACCCCCCACTCCTCTGCTTACCAGCACACCCTAAAATGAAGAAGTGTCTAAGCAGTTGCTTGTGGGCTGATAGAACAACAGACTGAGTGTTATCTCCATCAAGCCCAACTGTCGATTTCTTTATCTACCTGATTAGGGGTGCAATGGGCCAGTGTCAGTTCACCCCAAATGCCCTCAGTTCAAACTCGAGTCCTGCAGAGTAGAAAAGGTGTGGAGGGCTAGACCCTCCTCATTGTTGCCGCCAACTTGGAGACCATCAGGGCCATTGGTCACACCCCAGGGCTTCATTAGTCTTTACATCCACATCCTACTACTTACTAGATCTTCCTGAAAATTCCATGTTGCCTTCTCTAGACTACACATCTAGTCCAAAATCCAGTAAAGGTAAAAACAAAAGGTCCCTTCTCTGCCCTAACCTCCCTGGCCCCATTGCAGCAAGCTTTCAGCTAAGGAGCAACCAGGCTCAGCTGCCAGCCAGGGATCCTGGGAAATACTGATCTTCCTGGGGAGGAGGAAATGCATTCCTCCTTCATTGTCTCCTTTCTATAGTTTCATTCCAATAGCATTCCTTGCCCTTCCACTCCTCCACACCCACTTTTACAAACATCCCCTCCCTTTCTGCTTGCAGATCTATTCATCATTAATTCACCCATGAGTCTCCCAGAGACTGCTCCTGTGAATTTTTGCCTTGGAATCAAGGGCTAGTTGAGACTATAAGGTCTAAAATAGCCAGATGAGTAAATATCTAATGGTTGAAGTGGAGGCCCAAGAAAAGATGGTGAAAAGGAGCCTGGGCGATAGTGCAGGAGGGCAGGCACTTGCCTTGCATGAGGTTCCCTTTGCCTTGGCTCTGATTTGAATCCCCAGGACTCAAATCCCCTGGAGTGCCATCCAGGGCCAATCCTGAGCACAGATCCAGAGTTGGCCCCCAAATACAATCAGGAATGATTCAAAACAAGCAAACAAAAGAAAATTACAGTATGTGAAGCAGGGTCCTGCGTAGGGAGTGGAGTCACCTCTGGGGGCAGTGACCTAGAGAGACCACCAAGTATAGAGTAAGAGCCTCCTGTCTCCCAGGGATCTTTGGCTTCTGGACACATCCATTTCCACCTCTTCTTGGTTCCAAAGAACCTTTGAGGCTCTCTCCATGTCCCCTCTCCAGGATAAAGCACCAGGGCATTAGGGGAGGCCGGAAACTAGAACTGTAGATGCAGAATGGGGGTCACTCTGTTACCTGGGAAGCAGCTCCCCCTTGATAGTGGAGGTGGGTATGGAGGAGAGGCGTGGGAGGGTCAGGAGAAATAATCATTCTCCTGGGAATGGTTTGTGGAACACATCTTAGAAGTGAGAACCATTGAACTCAGACACTGGACACCTTCCTCCCTCCAGGTGGCTGTCCACACAGACTCTCATGGTTCCATCACAATTATTTTTAACTATTTAGCTATTGTAACTATGCATCGCATCCCCGTGAAATGCACAGGGTCAACTCCTGGCTCTGCATTCAGGAATTACTCCTGGCGGTGCTTGGGGGACCGTATGGGATGCTGGGGAATCAAACCCGGGTCAGCTCATGCAAGACAAATGCCCTACCTGCTGTGCTACCACTCCAGCCCCAGTGATTCTTCTTTTTTTTGGCGGGGGGGGGGGTCACACCCGGCGATGCACAGGGGAAACTCCTGGCTCTGCACTCAGGAATCACTCCTGGTGGTGCTTCGGGGACCATATGGGATGCTGGGAATCGAACCTGGGTCGGCCGCGTGCAAGGCAAACGCACTACCCGTTGTCCAGCCCCTTTTAAGTCAACTTTTTTTTTTCTTTTTGGGTCACACTCAGCAATGCACAGAGGTTACTCCTGGCTCATACACTCAGGAATTATTCCTGGTGGCACTCAGGGGACCATATGGGATGCTGGGAATTGAACCTGGGTGGCCACACTCAAGGCAAACACCCTACCCACTGTGCTATAGCACCTGCCCTGATTCGGTTCTTAAGAACCCGAGGCAACTCAGCACTGCAGTGAATGGGAACTGGAATTAATTGAGGAAATTGTAAATAAGACTCAGCTAGATAGAATTGATTCTTTAGAAAATTTAAATCTGATAGTGCTGTGTACTTCATATTCTCCCACTGGCATGCTGGTACAAGGAAGTAATATTGTGGAAAGGAGTTTTCTCTGTCATAAGCCTACTAAAAAACTGGCCACTTATGTGTATAAAATATCTCAAATAATTCTAAAAGGAAGAAAAAGAACTAGACAACAAGATCTGATCCTGCTGAAATTACTGTGCCTATGACCAATGAACAAATTCAAGCACTATGGGAACTTGATGAGAATTGGCAAATTGCTTCTACTGATTATTTGAGCAAAATGCATAACAGCTTTCCAAAGCAAAAGATGTTTCAATTTCTTAAATTTATTAATTGGATTTGGCCTAGCATTATAAAAGCTAAACCTATTAAAGCAGCAGTTACACTCTTTATAGATGCTAACAAAGAAGGAAAGGCTGTTCCTTCTTTGCTGATATGCAAAATGATAAAGTTTTACAAACTCCATATAATTTGGTTCAAAAGAGTGAATTGTGTGCAATTGTTTTTTTAAGAGATTATTTTGAACCAGTTAATATTAGCTTACAGTACTAATCATGGGCTGGAGCCATAGCAGAGCAGATAGGGCCTTTGCCTTGCACACGGCTGACCCTGGATCTATTCCTCCGCCCCTCTCAGAGAGTCCGGGAAGCTACTGAGAGTATCCCGCCTGCATGGCAGAGCCTGGAAAGCTAGCCTTGGCATATTCAGTATGCCAAAAACATTAACAAGTCTCACGTTGAAGACGTTACTGGTGCCCAGTCAAGCAAAAAGATGAACAATGTGAGGACAGTACTACAACTACTTTAACATATAACAATTATTTTTAACTATTACCAGAGCAATAGCACAGCGGGTAGGCATTGCCTTGCACATGGCCAACCCGGGTTCAATTCCTCTGTCCCTCTTAGAAAGCTCGGCAACTACCGAGACTATCCCACCCCATGGCAGTGCCTGGCAAGTTCCTGTGTTATATTCAACATGCCAAAAACAGTAACAAGTTTCACAATGGAGATGTTACTGGTGCCCGCTCGAGCAAAAAGATGAACACTGGGAGGACAGTGCTGCAGTGCTACTCATGATGTCTGTGTGGGGAGGAGTTGTGTCACAGCTAACAGTGCTTAGGGTTTACTTGTGACTCTTTATTCAAGGTCCCTGCTGGCTATGCAAGGGGACCATATGCAGTTCTGAGGAATGAACCAGGTTGGCATCCTTGCTGGCTGTCCTAAATCACCAGTTCTCCCAACTGAATTCCTTTGGGGGCCTTAAGAAACACATTTAGTGATGCTCAAAACGTATTTCAGGCTTTGCACTCAGGGATCATTCCTGGGAGGACTTGGGGTGACCAGGTGGAGGTGGTGGGGATCAAACCCAGGTTGGTCCTGTACAAGGCAAGCTATCGTATTTTCCTGACTTTCACAGCAGAATTCTTGATTCATTCCCCCACCTGCCACACACATGCAGGTAAAATCACTGCCCCACCATGCACATAACACTCTAAATGTCAACAATGTAGAAAGTCCAGTTCCACTCCCCTGAGTGTGCAATTTTTGAAACTCCCTTTGGGGAGACCAAAATGGTCTCTTTGTTCATGTCCTGCATGCTGATGGCTCTAAAGCTAAATTCCTCGGAAACCTTCCACAGCCTCCATCACATGGTGGAAGGAAGTACATCTAGGGTTTTCCAGGGAATGGAGTTTCAAAATCAGCAATTGAACAAATGAGTCAGGAACTGCTGAGAGAGCCTTTATTAGATTGATGGAAAGCTGAGGGATGGAGCCAAGTGCCCCAGGACAGTGAGAGGGAGGAAGCTCCAGGGCAGGGAGGTGGGACCGGAACCGGAACTGCTGGAACAGGAACTGGAACCACTGCTTAGGTAGAGCAGATGAAGGGCAGCTGCGTTGTGCATTGAGCTCGCTTCCAAACGCCATCTAGCAACAGAGCACACAGAGATTTCAGCTGGCTCACAGTCTCTACTGAAAACTTCCCACCTTCATTCCCATCCCAGCTAATGCAGCAGATCACGGAGCTCTTCCTGGAAGGAGGTCTCTCTGCAGACACAAACTTTCATCCTCATGCTGACCCCTGATAGACTTGGTGCTATCTTCCCATTGCGCCCATCAGGAAACTGAGATAGGTGGGGTAAGCACTTCACTATCTCAGCTGACAAGAGCCAGGATGTGGAAGCCTGACTCCATCCATGTGGACTCAGCCACTTCTTGAACCTCCTCATCTGTGGCGTCCACACCTCTCTACAATGGCTAGCAACCTGCCAGCCATGCCCTATTCCCAACTTTTGCCTCAGCCCTGACCCACACCTCCCTTTCTGCCAGCTGCTCTGCCTGTCACATCATTCCTTCACTCTTGTCCCCTGTGGCTCAGAGGAAAGAGTTGACCCATCCTATTCCCCAGGCCCAGGGCTGAGATCTGCTGGGAGAAGGAAGAAGGCCACTTGGCCTCTGCCCCCTGCCCATCAAGCTGCTTGGCTCTCTGTCATGGGAAGCCCAGTGTCAATCCTCAGAGCCACCTGCTGCTTCTCCAATGTGGGCAGGACCTGGGTTAGGGCGTGTGACCAGGCAGCTCAGAGGGGCAACAGGTCAGAGTCATCCTCCCACCACCACCACCACCACACCCTCACCTGGCGTCCATCCCCTTACCTCGGGTGCACAGGGTCACACAATTTCCTGTTCCTCTTCCTGGCTGTCCTGGGGCCCAGTGAGAAAAATCCCAACGGCTCCCGTCTGCCCAAGTATATCTATTGCACTCGTACTAAAGGAAAAATAGTCTCGTCAGAGAACCAACCTTTTCAAGGTAACAGCTACTGTTTCTCTGGTGGCCACAGAGAATGCCTGGTCAGAGCACTGTCTCCATTCTGGACACTCAGTCTGTGAATGAGCTCATCTGAGGACACTCACTCGACCAGGGACATATACGTGGAGACCCATCAGCCCCAAGGGACCATGCAGCCTTTACGGGGTTCAATACACACCCAAGTTTCCTGGGGGTCTTATGAAAATACAGGTTCGGGTTTAGGGTGTTTGGGAGTAGGGCCCTGCTAGGGTTGGACATTCCTAATCAGCCACCTGGGCATGCTGGTACTGCTTGCCTATGAGCACATTGAGTAGAAAATAACTGGGCTCTTACTCATTTGCCATCACAAACTCGGAGAGAAGGACCCTTAAGGAAACAGAAGCTCCCAGGGTGCTAGTCAATTCCTGGAACATGCATTAATGTTTAGCCACCAGCTGTGTGGGCAAAGTGAGAAGGCAGAGGGAAGGGAAGCTGGACCTGGAACCAGCCACCATCTATTGTGCCAGTCCTCGGCAGAGTCAAGGGACGAACATGAAGTGACTTGATGGGACATTGAAAAGAGAGGGGTGCCCAGAGCGGGATTCTCCTGAGCCAGAACACCTCTGCCTGCTGCTGCCTTGATATCAGGGGCATGCTAGGGGCTGTCATAAAGAACACCCTGTCCCTATGAGGTGGGTGCTCACTTACCCACTGAGAGATGGTGGCTCCGATCCAGACCTGGCCTTGGTTAATCCTGCTGGCCAAACTCCTGAGTTGATTATTGGTATTGATATCGTGGATGGAAGCAAGGTTGCCCCCGTAGTACCTCTTGCAAATTTCCTGCAGAGAAAAGAGGACAGGGCTTGGAGAGTTGACCCTTGGTTTCCCCAGGTCCTGGGACTCTAGGAAAAGTTCTAGAGTCCTGCTACCTGTCAGAAGCCAGGGACTAGCTTGTTTTCCCTCAGTTCCATCTCTTGCTTTTATGTTTATTTTTGGAGTTTGTGTCATGCCCACCTGTGCTCAGAGCTTTCTTCTAGCTGTGAGCTCAGGACTTGCCCCTGGTGGTGCCCAAGATGCTGCCCATAGAACCCGGGGCAGCTGCGTGCAATGCAAGAGCATGCCTCACTGTATTATTGTTCCAGTTCAGATTTCTTGCTCTTCTGTCTGTCTTCCAGAACTTCTTTTCCTGTTCTGTTTAGGGGCCACAACCAGTTGCACTCAAGCCTCTTCCTGCCTTTGCCCTTCGGGATCACACATGGCAGGCTCATATATAGCACCAGAGCTTCAACCACAATCAGGCAAGCACCCTACCCGCTTGACTACCTCCATCCCATGTCGTCAGGACCATCTTGCAGTGAGTAATATTAATGGCCAGAATATTTACAGTCGCCATTTATAGAGAGTTTTACCATGGCTCTGGGACTGTTCCTGATACTTTCCAGATCTCAGTCCATTCTCATCCCTAGTCTAGGAACTTGCAGCCACGTTTTTCATGCTGGTTACAGCTGGCAATACCTCTCCTCTCTTTACAAATGCTGACACAATGTGAAGTTGCCTGCAAGGACACTGTCCAGGAAAGGCCAAGCCAGGGCTTCACACAGGGACATCTGACCCAGAGGCCTTTTGTGTTTGTCTCTGGGTCTCCATGTGCACTTTGCACAGCACCAACATTATCATCACCCAGAAATGTGTTATATGTACAGACACCAAGCTGTTAAGCTAGAGATCTGTGCTTTACCAAAACCTCACCAAGACACAGAGTTGCTCACACTAGATTAGATGAACTGCTAGTCAGAAGAAGGAAAAACAGATGCTCGAATCCTCTCTACTTAAGCACACACACACACACACACACACACACACACACACACACACACACCCTAGCCTGGAACTTTCCCGAAGTTTCTCTGCCGCTTACCTGAGATGCAGAAAATGTCCTGGAAGACCCCACTAATGTATATTGACGGAACTGCTTGTGAGGATTGTTATCCTCTTGAACTGTGTCCTCTTCCTTGGGACACACAACGTTCCCCGAGGCAGCAAGGTCTGAATCCAGGTTGTCCTTATCCTCGAAAGTGTCTTGAAAGTCAGAAGCCTTGGCCTCCTCTTCCCCTGATGGAATCTCCTCCCCATGCAGTGCCAACTCTCCCTTCTTCTCCCCGGAGCTGTCCAGGTTCTGGCTCAGGTTGGCCTGGTTGTCCAGATAATCTGGAGGGGTGGCATTGTCCCCTGAAGAAAAAGTTACCTGCCATCAGGTTGGACTCTGCTTCTAGGACCATGGACAGTATTAGACACACACACACACACACACACACAGAGATATACACACAGACATACGCTCTCACACACACACAGGCATAAATATACACAAACACACACACACACACACACATGTCTTTCTAGGGCCTCCACGTGGAGGTAAAACTGGGAGGGTCTAACCATACTACGGCAAAGCCAGATGTCTTGGCCCATGTGTCCAGACAGGTGAGACCCTCACCCCACAGGTCGGTATTTTGGGGGTGTGAGAAGCACCTCTGAGAAGGCCTCTGTCTCCCCAGGAGCCCAAGGAGAGAGCAATGGCTGAGAAGGCCAGGCAGGACTCACCCAGGTGGCGCGCAGAGACAGCTCCCAGCAGAAGGGGCAGCAGCAGGAGCACCTTCATCTCTCCAGTCGGGGAAGGGGTCACAGCAGCTTCTCTCCTTGCAGGTGTCGAGTGCCTCTGCACAGTTCCTTGGCACCAAGAACAATAGCTGGTTGATTAAAGGCAAAACTAAAGAGTGTCACTGTCTTTTGATGGACACACCCTTTGCTGTAGCACCTGGAACAGGTCCCAGAGACGTCAGCACCAAGACATAAGTCTCTTTCTCCTAGGACCAGCCACAGTGCTCCTGGGAGCAGCAATTACCACCCCCCGCCCCAGAATCTGAATCCATAGCATGCACCCCCACTGGCTCCATCCAGGACAGAGGTTGAAGGAGCCTCACCAGTACTGAGAACAAGCCTCCAAGGTGTTGGCCTCATGGGCTCCTGCTTCCTCCCAGCCCTGGACTCTCCACCCTGGGCATCAAGGGATGGGGAGGACTCACCTAAGCATCCGTGGCATCCACTCTCAGCACAGCTGCCTGCTGAGGTCCCGGGAAGGATCCTTATATTAAGCTTTTAGGGAAGTGGGAAGAGGCTGTTATGATTGCTCCAGTTGGGGGATGGGGCAGAGTTACTGATAAGAAATTTGCTTAATTGTGGGGGTGGTGGGGGAGATGTAAGGTAAACTGGGGACTCTGGTGCTGGGAAATGTACACTGTGGTGGGATGGGTATTGAAATACTGTTAGACTGGATTCTAGTCATGAACAGCTTTGTAAGGGTCTATCTCAATGTGATTAAATAAAAACTATTTAAAAAAAGAAATTTGCTTACTTGTCATACTTCTGCTTTGATACCAGGGGATATGTATAGAAACCTACCTCCTGGGACTTATTGCCATCTGTGGGTGTCTTGCACCTGAGGTGTCCCCTGAATTTCCACTCACCCCAGGAGTGACGCTGACTGATGTCTCAGCAGAGAGTGGGATAATGGAGGAAAGGTGGGAGAGGCCTACAGAGGAACCTCAGGACTCCTGACGTCCTCTGTAGATCCGTTACGTCCTATGAACCCAATGCAACACATCCCTGGAAGCTCATATTATCATCCATCCTCACAGATAGGACAGTGAGAATCGATAGGGACAGTGACCAGTCAATATTGCAGAGGAATGAGGCTGGAGCGATAGTACAGCAGGTAGGGTGTTTTCCTTGCATCTGGCCAACCCCGCTTCTATTCCCAGCATCTTATATGGTCCCTCGATCACTGCCAGGAGTAATTCCTGAGTGCAGAACAAGGAGTAACCCCATGCATCACTGGGTGTGACCCAAAAGAGCATATATGTCCATATATATCCATATATCTGTATTATATATATATCACAGGAAGCAGGGAGCTAAATTTCCAAGGCTTCTCAGCTACTAAGCCTCTCTTTGACCTTCTCTCTTCTTTCACCCTTCTCTCTCCAACTGTATCTCCTTTATTTCCCTGGCTCTCCCTCTCTTACACTCATCTTATAGTGTAAAAGCCTTTGTTCTTGCTTTTCAACCAAGGCTGTCAACCTTGTACCATTACTATCTGAAGCCAAGTAATTCCTAGTATACGAAGCATGGTGCAGAGTTTAGTAGAATCCTCAGTCTCTCCCTGCTTTAGCTGTCAATTGCTCCTCCCTTAGTCGTGAAAATAAAAAATGTCTTGATATGTCTCAGGAACAGAACTGGCCCAGTTGCCGATTTTTGATTTAGAGCCACCCTCCAACGTACCTTCTAATCATATGTCAACAGTCAGAATGCACAGTACCCTGGAGAAGCATTTAGACACTCTGGGGGATGCTCTCTTCATCCCATCCTGACTCCATCTCTCAAGCGTCTAGAACTAAGAGGAACAGGAGCGAGGTGTTCATTTGGCCCTCGGTTGCAAAGTTAAAGGGGTAAGAATTCAGTGCATGCCCCACAAAGGAATTGTCATGGAGCTTGAGCTCTGTAATAGAATACTCTCACTGCGTGTATGGGGCCCTGCGTTCAATCCCCAGTGTCATTAAACATAATAACCAAAAATTCATTGATACAGATTAAAAAAGCAACCTTTCTTTAAAATAAAAGCAAGTGCTATAAGCCGATGTTGAACAAAATATCAAAATTTGATTCCATGGGGCTGCTGAGATAGTATGACGAGTAGGGCATTTGCTTTCTATGTGCCATGCTGGACCCAGGTTCAATCCCCAGCATCCTGAATGGTCCCCCTGGGCACCAACAGGAGTAATTTCTAAGTGCAGAACCAGGAGTAACCTCTGAGCATTGTCGGGTGTGACCCCCAATCAAAAACAAAAGCATCAAATCTTGAATCCCCCAAGTAGCAGCCATACTCACTGACCTTCATAGAGAGGCAAGCCCTGACTTCCATGCCATATCCCAGAGCCAGTGGGTTTGTCCCAGAGGAAAGCTCGGAGGCATCCTTGCTGGGCCATGGGGATTGGCTCATCATATTCCAGCTCTCAGGGCAGCAGGGCGAGTTAAGGAAGAGTGTGGAAATACCTGAACTCCACCACACACACACCCTGCTTCCAGGACACCCGCAAATGAAGACATGTCTAAGCAGTTGCTTGTGGGCTAATAGAGCAACAGACTGTTATCTTCATCAAGCCCAACTGTCGATCTCTTTATCTACCTGATTAGGGGTGCAATCGGCCAGTGTCAGTACACCCCAAATTACCTCAGTTCAAGCTCGAGTCCTGCAGAGTAGAAAAGGTGTGGAGGGCTAGACCCTCCTCATTATTGCCACCATCTTGGGGGCCATCAGGGCCATTGGTCACACCCCAGGGCTTCATTAGTCTTTTACATCCACATCCTACTACTTACTCGATCTTTCTGAAAAGTACACGTTTCCTTCTCTAGACTATTCATCCAGTTCGAAATCCAGTAAAGGTAAAAACAACAGGTCCCTTCTCTGCCATAACCTCCCTGGCCCCATTGCGGCAAGCTTTCAGCTAAGGAGCAATCAGGCTCAGCTGCCAGCCAGGGATCCTGGGAAATACTGATCTCCTGGGGAGGAGGAAATGCATTCCTCCTTCATTGTCTCCTTTCTATAGTTTCCCTCCACAACAATTCCTAGCCCTTCCACTCCCCCACACCCAATGTTACAAATATCCCTCCCTTTCTGCTAGCAGATCTATTCTTCATTAATTCACCCATCAGTCTCCCAGAGATGGCTCCTATGAATTTTTGCCTTAGAATCATGGGCTAATTGAGCCTATAAGGTCTAAAATAGCCAGATGAGTAAATATCTAATGGTTGAAGTGGAGGCCCAAGAAAAGATGGTGAAAAGGGCGATAGTGCAGGAGGGCAGGCACTTGCCTTGAATGAGGTTCCCTTTGCCTCAACTCTGATTTGAATCCCCAGAACTACATATGAGTGCCATCCAGGGCCATTCCTGAGCACAGATCCAGAGATGGCCCCCAAGTACCATCAGGGATGATCCAAAACAAGCAAACAAAAGAAAATCGCAGTATGTGAAGCAGGGTCCTGCACAAGGACTGGAGTCTCCTACTGGGGGCAGTGGCCTAGCGAGACCACGAAGTATAGATTAAGAGCCTCCTGTCTCCCGGGGCTCTTTGGCTTCTGGACACATCCATCCCCACCTCTACTTGGATCCAAAGAACCTTTGAGTTTCTGTCTCCATGTCCCCTCTCCAGGATAAAGCACCAGGGCAGCACGGGAGGCCATAAACTAGAACTGTAGATGCAGAATGGGGGTCACTCTGTTACCTAGGAAGCAGCTCCCCCTTGATAGTGGGGGTGAGTATGGAGGAAAGGGGTGAGAGGATCAGGAGAAATAGACATTCTTCTGGGAATTGTTTGTGGAACACATCTTAGAAGTGAGAGCCCTTGAACTCAGACATTGGACACCTTCCTCCCTCCATGTGGCTGTCCACAAAGTCTCTCATGGTTCCATCACAATTATTTTTTAACTATTACTCAATTATTTTTAACTATTTAGCTATTTTAACTATGCATCGCATCCCAGTGCAATGCACAGGGGCAACTCCTGGCTCTGCACTCAGGAATTATCCTGGCGGTGCTCGGCGGACCGTATGGGATGCTGGGGAATCGAACCCGGGTCAGCTCATGCAAGACAAATGCCTTACCTGCTGTGCTACCACTACAGCGATTCTTCTCTTTTTTGGAGGGAGGGGTCATACCCGGCGATGCACAGGGGAAACTCCTGCCTCTGCACTCAGGAATCACTCCTGGCGGTGCTTGTGGGACTATATGGGATGCTGGGAATCGAACCTGGGTCGACCGTGTGAAAGGCAAATGCACTACCCGCTGTGCTATTGCTCCAGACCCTTTTAAGTCAACTTTTTTTTTCTTTTTGGGTCACATCCAGCAATGCACAGGGGTTACTCCTGGCTCATACACTTAGCAATGACTCTTGGCTGTGCTCGGGGGACCATATGGTATGCTGGGAATTGAACCTGGGTCCTCCGCACTCAAGGCAAACACCACACCCACTGTGCTATCACTCCAGCCCTGATTCTTCTCTTAAGAGCCCTAGGCAACTCAGCACTACAGTGAATGGGAACTGGAATTAATTAAGGAAATTGTAAATAAGACTCAGCTAGATAGAATTGATTCTTTAGAAAATTTAAATCTGATAGTGTTGTGTACATCACATTCTCCCACTGGCATTCTGGTACAAGGAAGTAATATTGTGGAATGGAGTTTTTTACGTCATAAGCCTACTAAAAAACTGGCCACTTATGTGTATAAAATATCTCAAATAATTCTAAAAGGAAGAAAAAGAACTAGACAACAGGGAGTGATCCTGCTGAAATTATTGTGCCATTGACCAATGAACAAATACAAGCACTATGGGAACTTGATGAGAATTGGCAACTTGCTTCTACTGATTATTTGAGCAAAATGTGTAACAGCTTTCCAAAGCCAAAGATGTTTCAATTTCTTAAATTTATGAATTGGATTTGGCCTAGCATTATAAAAGCTAAACCTATTAAAGCAGCAGTTACATTCTTTACAGATGCTAACAAAGAAGGAAAGGATGTTCAGGCTGATATGCAAAATGATAAAGTTTTACAAACTCCATATAATTTGGTTCAAAAGAGTGAATTGTGTGCAATTGTTTTTTTAAGAGATTATTTTGAACCAGTTAATATTAGCTTACAGTACTAATCATGGGCTGGAGCCATAGCAGAGCAGATAGGGCCTTTGCCTTGCATACGGCTGACCCTGGTTCTATTCCTCCGCCCCTCTCAGAGAGTCCGGAAAGCTACTGAGAGTATCCCGTCTGCACGGCAGAGCCTGGAAAGCTAGCCGTGGCATATTCAGTATGCCAAAAACATTAACAAGTCTCACGATGGAGACGTTACTGGTGCCCAGTCAAGCAAAAAGATGAACAATGGGAGGACAGTACTACAACTATTTTAACATGTAACAATTATTTTTTTTCCTTTATTTTATTTTATTTTTTTTTTACAGTTGTAGATTTACAATTTTTTGTGCTTTGGTTTCAATTATACAATGATCAGATACCCATCCCTCCACCAGTGCCCATTTTCCACCACCATGGACAATATCCCTTCCACCCCCATCCCCCCATACCCCCTGTCTCTGTGGCAGGGCAATCCCCTGTGTTCTCTCTCTCCTTTTGGGTGTTGTGGTCTGCAAAAGAGGCATTGAGTGGCAAACATGTTCAGTCCATAGTCTACTTTCGACATGCATCTCCCCTCCTGGGAGGATCCTCCAAACATCCTTTATTTGGTGCTCCCTTCTCTATCTGAACTGCCCTTTCCTCTAGGATACCCGGCTGGCCTCTAAGTTATGGAGTAATCCTCCTGGTGCTGATCTCAGCTATTCTTGGGTATTAATCTCATACTTGTAACAATTATTTTTAACTATTACCAGAGCAATAGCACAGCGGGTAGCCGTTGCCTTGCACATGGCCAATCTGGGTTCAATTCCTCTGTCCCTCTTAGAAAGCTCGGCAACTACCGAGACTATCCCACCCCATGGCAGTGCCTGGCAAGCTCCCTGTGTTATATTCAACATGCCAAAAACAGTAACAAGTTTCACAATGGAGATGTTACTGGTGCCCGCTCGAGCAAAAAGATGAACACTGGGAGGACAGTGCTGCAGTGCTACTCATGATGTCTGTGTGGGGAGGAGTTGTGTCACAGCTAACAGTGCTTAGGGTTTACTTGTGACTCTTTATTCAAGGTCCCTGTTGGCTATGCAAGGGGACCATATGCAGTTCTGAGGAATGAACCAGGTTGGCATCCTTGCTGGCTGTCCTAAATCACCAGTTCCCCCAACAGAATTCCTTTGGGGGCCTTAAGAGACACATTTAGCAGTGCCCAAAACATATTTCAGGCTTTGCACTCAGGGATCATTCCTGGTAGGACTTGTGGTGACCAGGTGGAGGTGGTGGGGATCAAACCCAGGTCGGCCCTGTACAAGGCAAGCTATCGTATTTTCCTGACTTTCACAGCAGAATTCTTGATTCATTCCCCTACCTGCCTCACACACGCAGGAAAAATCACTGCCCCACCATGCATATAACACTCTGAATGTCAACAATGTAGAAAGGTCAGTTCCTCTCCCCTGAGTGTGTAATCCTTGAAACTCCCTTTGGGGAGACCAAAACGGTCTCTTTGTTCATGTCCTGCATGCTGATGGCTCTAAAGCTAAATGCCTCGGACATCTTCCCCAGCCTCCATCACATGGTGGGAGGAAGTACATCTAGGGTTTTCCAGGGAATGGAGTTTCAAAATCAGCAATTGAACAAATGTGTCAGGATCTGCTGAGAGAGCCTTTATTAGATTGATGCAAAGCTGAGTGATGGAGCCAAGTGCCCCAGAACAGTGAGAGGGAGGAAGTTCCAGGGCAGGGAGGTGGGACCGGAACCGGAACTGCTGGAACAGGAACTGGAACCACTGCTTAGGTAGAGCAGATGTAGGGCAGCAGCGTTGTGCATTGAGCTCGCCTCCAAACGCCATCTAGCAACAGAGCACACAGAGATTTCAGCTGGCTCACAGTCTCTACTGAAGACTTCCCACCTTCATTCCTCGGCCCCAGCTAATGCAGCAGATCACTGAGCTCTTCCTGGAAGGAGGTCTCTCTGCAGACTCAAACTTACATCCTCATGCTGACCCCTGATAGACTTGGTGCTAGCTTCCCATTGCACCCATAGGAACACTGAGATAGGGTGGGGTAAGCACTTGACTATCTCAGCTGGCAAGAGCCAGGATTTGGAAGCCTGACCCTACCCGTATGAACTCAGCCACTTCTCGAAACTCCTCATCTCTGGCGTCCACACTCTCTACAATGGGTGGCAACCTGCCAGCCAGGCCCTATTCCCACCTCTTGCCTTCAGCCCTGACCCACACCTGCATTTCTGCCAGCTGCTCTGCCTGTCACATCATTCCTTCACTCTTGTCCCCTGTGATTCAAAGTAAAGAGTTGACCCATCCTGTTCCCCAGGCCCAGGGCTGAGCTCTGCTGGGAGAAGGGAGAAGGCCACTTGGCCTCTGCCCCCTGCCCATCAAGCTGCTTGGCTCTCTGTCACGGGAAACCCAGTGTCAGTCCTCAGAGCCACCTGCTGCTTCTCCAATGTGGGCAGGACCTAGGTTAGGGCGTGTGACCAGGCAGCTCAGAGGGGCAACAGGTCAGAGTCATCCTCCCACCACCACCACCATCACACCCTCACCTGGCGTCCATCCTCTTACCTCGGGTGGACAGGGTCACACAATTTCCTGTTCCACTCCCTGGCTGTCCTGGGGCCCAGTGAGAAAAATCCCAAGGGCTTCCGTCTGCCCATGTATATTTTCTGCACTCGTACTAAAGGAAAAATAGTCTCGTCAGAGGACCAACCTTTTCAAGGTAACAGCTACTGTTTCTCTGGTGGCCACAGAGAATGCCTGGTCAGAGCACTGTCTCCATTCTGGACACTCAGTCTGTGAATGAGCTCATCTGAGGACACTCACTCGACCAGGGACATATACGTGGAGACCCATCAGCCCCAAGGGACCATGCAGCCTTCACGGGGTTCACTACACACCCAAGTTTCCTGGGGGTCTTATGAAAATACAGGTTCGGGTTTAGGGTGTTTGGGAGTAGTGCCCTGCTAGGGTTGGACATTCCTAACCATGGGCACTCTGGTACTGCTGGCCTGTGAGCACACTGAGTAGAAAACATCTGGGCTCTTACTCATCTGCTATCACAAACTCGGAGAGAAGGTCCCTTAGGGGAACAGAAGCTCCCAAGGAGCTAGTCAATTCCTGGAATATGCATGAATATTTAGCCACCAGCTGTGTGGGCAAAATGAGATCGCAGAGGGAAGGGGAACTGGACCTGGAATCACCCACCATCTATTGTGCCAGTCCTCGGCAGATGTCAAGGGGCGAACATGAAGTCACTTGATGGGACTTTGGAAAGAGAGGGGTGCCCAGAGCGGGGTTCTCTGAGCCAGAACACCCCTGCCTGCTGCTGTCATCATATGAGCTGCAGGGGTGCACAGGGGCATCCTAGGGGCTGTCATAAAGAATTTTCTTCGGGGCTGGAGCAATACCACAGCAGGTAGGGCGTTTGCCTTGCACACTGCCGACCCATGTTCGATTCCCAGCATCCCATATGGTCCCCCGAGCACCGCCAGGAGTGATTCATGAGTGTATAAACCAGGAGTAACTCCTTTGCATTGCCGGGTGTGACCCAAAAATGCAAAAAAAAATAATAATTTCCTGTCTCTATGAGGTGGGTGCTCACTTACCCACTGAGAGATGCTGACTCCGATCCAGACCTGGCCTTGGTTAATCCTGCTGGCCAACGTCCTGAGTTGATTATTGGTATTGATATCGTGGATGGAAACAAGGTTACCCCTGTAGCACCTCTTGCACATTTCCTGCAGAGAGAGGAGGACAAGGGTTGGAGAGTTGACCCTTGATTTCCCCAGGTCCTGGGTCTCTAGGAAAAGTTCTAGAGTCCTGCTACCTGTCAGAAGCCAGGGACTAGCTTGTCTTCCCTCAGTTCCATGTATTGCTCTTATGTTTATTTTTGGAGTTTGTGCCATGCCCACCTGTGCTCAGAGCTTTCTTCTAGCTGTGAGCTCAGGACTTGCCCCTGGTGGTGCCCGAGATGCTGCCCATACAACCCGGGGCAGCTGCGTGCAATGCAAGAGCATGCCTCACTGTATTATTGTTCCAGTTCAGATTTTTTTCTCTTCTGGCTGTCTTCCAGAACATCTTTTCTTGTTCTGTTTAGGGGTCACAACCAGCTGTACTCAAGCTTCTTCCTGGCTTTGCCCTTTGGGATCACACACGGCAGGCTCATGAATGGCACCAGAGCTTCAACCACAATCAGGCAAGCTCCCTATCCGCTGGACTACCTCCATCCCATGTCATCAGGAGCATCTTGCAGTGAGTAATATTAATGGCCAGAATAATTACAGCCACCACTTACGGAGTGTTTTGCCATGGCTCTGGGACTGTTCCTGATACTTTCCAGATCTCAGTCCATTCTCATCCTGAGTCTAGCAACTGGCAGCCACATTTCTTCATGCTGGTTACAGCTGGCGCTACCTCTCCTCTCTTTACAAATGCAGACACAATGTGAAATTTCCTGCAAGGACACTGTCCAGGAAAGGCCAAGCCAGGGCTTCACACAGGGACATCTGACCCAGAGGCCTTTTGTGTTTGTCTCTGGGTCTCCATGTGCACTTTGCACAGCACCAACATTATCATCACCCAGAAATGTGTTATATGTACAGACACCAAGCTGTTAAGCTAGAGATCTGTGCTTTACCAAAACCTCACCAAGACACAGAGTTGCTCACACTAGATTAGATGAACTGCTAGTCAGAAGAAGGAAAAACAGATGCTCGAATCCTCTCTTCTACTTAAGCACACACACACACACACACACACACACACACACCCTAGCCTGGAACTTTCCCGAAGTTTCTCTGCCGCTTACCTGAGATGCAGAAAATGTCTTGGGAGACCTCACTAATATATATTGACGGGGCTCCTTGTGAGGATTGACATCCTCTTGAACTATGTCCTCTTTCTTGGGGCACTCAACGTTCCACGAGGCAGCAAGGTCTGAATCCAGGTCGTCCTTATCCTCGAAAGTGTCTTGAAAGTCAGAAGCCTTGGCCTCCTCTTCCCCTGATGGAATCTCCTCCCCATGCAGTGCCAACTCTCCCTTCTTCTCCCCGGAGCTGTCCAGATTCTGGCTCAGGTCAGCCTGGTTGTCCAGATAATCTGGAGGGGTGGCATTGTCCCCTGAAGAAAAAGTTACCTGCCATCAGGTTGGACTCTGCTTCTAGGACCATGGACAGTATTAGACACACACACACAGATATACACACAGACATACGCTCTCTCACACACACACAGGCATAAATACACACAAACACACACACACACACACACACACACACACATGTCTTTCGAGGGCCTCCACATAGAGGCAAAACTGGGAGTGTCTAACCATACTACGGCAAAGCCAGATCTCTTGGCCCATGTGTCCAGACGGGTGAGACCATCAACCCACAGGTCGGTATTTTGGGAGTGTGAGAAGCACCTCTCAGAAGGCCTCTGTCTCCCCAGGAGCCCAAGGAGAGAGCAATGGCTGAGAAGGCCAGGCAGGACTCACCCAGGTGGCGCGCAGAGACAGCTCCCAGCAGGAGGGGCAGCAGCAGGAGCACCTTCATCTCTCCAGTCGGGGAAGGGGTCACAGCAGCTTCTCTCCTTGCAGGTGTCGAGTGACTCTGCACAGTTCCTTGGCACCAAGAACAATAGCTGGTTGATTAAAGGCAAAACTTAAGAGTGTCATTTTTTTTCGATGGACATACCCTTTGCTGTAGCACCTGGGACAGGTCCCAGAGACGTCAGCACCAAGACATAAGTCTCTTTCTCCCAGGACCAGCCACAGTGCTCCTGGGAGCAGCAATTACCACCCCCCGCCCCAGAATCTGAATCCATAGCATGCACCCCCACTGGCTCCGTCCAGGACAGAGGTTGAAGGAGCCTCACCAGTACTGAGAACAAGCCTCCAAGGTTTGGCCTCATGGGCTCCTGCTTCTTCCCAGCCCTGGACTCTCCACCCTGGGCATCAAGGGATGGGGGGACTCACCTAAGCATCCGTGGCATCCACTCTCAGCACAGCTGCCTGCTGAGGTCCCGGGGAGGATCCTTATATTAAGCTTTTAGGGAAGTGGGAAGAGGCTGTTATGATTGCTCCAGGTGGAGGACAGGGGGCAGAGTTACTGATAAGAAATTTGCTTAATTGTGGGGGTGGTGGGGGAGATGGAAAGTAAACTGGGGACTCTGGTGCTGGGAAATGTACACTGTGGTGGGATGGGTATTGAAATACTGTTAGACTGGATTCTAGTCATGAACAGCTTTGTAAGGGTCTATCTCAAAGTGAATAAATAAAAACTATTTAAAAAAAGAAATTTTCTTACTTGTCATACTTCTGCTTTGATACCAGGGGATATGTATAGAAACCTACCTCCTGGGACTTATTGACATCTGAGGGTGTCTTGCACCTGAGGTGTCCCCTGAATTTCCACTCACCCCAGGAGTGACGCTGACTGATGTCTCAGCAGAGAGTGGGATAATGGAGGAAAGGTGGGAGAGGCCTACAGAGGAACCTCAGGACTCCTGACGTCCTCTGTAGACCAGTTACTTCCTGTGGACTCAAACCAACACATCCTTGGAAGCTCACATTATCGTCCTCCATCCCAGATAGGACAGTGAGAATCGAGAGGGACAGTGACCAGTCAATATAGCAGAGGAATGGGGCTGGAGCGATAGTACAGCAGGTAGGGTGTTTGCCTTGCATGCGGCTAACCCCGCTTCTATTCCCAGCATCTCATATGGTCCGTCGATCACTGCCAGGAGTAATTCCTGAGTGCAGAACCGGGAGTAACCCCATTCATCGCTGGGTGTGACCCAAAAGACCATATATAGCCATATATATTCATATATATGTATGTATTATATATATATATATCACAGGAAGCAGGGAGCTAAATTTCCAAGGCTTCTCAGCTACTAAACCTGTCTTTGACCTTCGCTCTTCTTTCACCCTTCTCTCTCCAACTGTATCCCCTTTATTTCCTTGGCTCTCCCTCTCTTACACTCATCTTGTAGTGTAAAAGCCTTTGTTCTTGCTTTTTAACCAAGGTTCTCAACCTTGTACCATTACTATCTGAAGCCAAGTAATTCCTAGTATACGAAGCATGGTGCAGAGTTTAGTAGAATCCTCGGTCTCTCCCTGCTTTAGCTGTCAATTGCTCCTCCCTTAGTCGTGAAAATAAAAAATGTCTTGATATGTCTCAGGAACAGAACTGGCCCAGTTGCCGATTTTTGATTTAGAGCCAACCTCCAACGTACCTTCTAATCATATGTCAACAGTCAGAATGCACAGTACCCTGGAGAAACATTTAGACACTCTGGGGGATGCTCTCTTCACCCCATATCTGACTCCATCTCTCAACCGTCGGACTAAGAGGAACAAGAGTGAGGTGTTCATTTGGCCCTTGGTTGCAAAGTTAAAGGGGTAAGAATTCAGTGCATGCCCCACAAAGGAATTGTCATGGAGCTTGAGCTCTGCCGTAGAATACTCTCACTGCGTGGATGAGGCCCTGCGTTCAATCCCCAGTGTCATTAAACATAATAACCAAAAATTCATTGATACAGATTAAAAAAGCAACCTTTCTTTAAAATAAAAGCAAGTGCTATAAGCCGATGTTGAACAAAATATCAAAACTTGATTCGATGGGGCTGCTGAGATAGTATGACTAGTAGGGCATTTGCTTTCTATGTGCCATGCTGGACCCAGGTTCAATCCCCGGCATACTGAATGGTCCCCCTGGGCACCAACAGGAGTAATTTCTAAGTGCAGAGCCAGGAGTAATCTCTGAGCATTGTCGGGTGTGGCCCCCAATCAAAAACAAAGCATCAAATCTTGAATCCACCAAGTAGCAGCCATACTCACTGACCTTCATAGAAACGCAAGCCCTGACTTAGATGCCATATCCCAGAGCCAGTGGATTTGTCCCAGAGGAAAGCTCAAAGGCATCCTTGCTGGGCCATGGGGATTGGCTCGTCAGATTCCAGCTCTCAGGGCAGCAGGGAGAGTTAAGGAAGAGTGTGGAAATACCTGAACTCCACCACACACACACCCTGCTTCCAGGACACCCGCAAATGAAGACATGTCTAAGCAGTTGCTTGTGGGCTAATAGAGCAACAGACTGTTATCTTCATCAAGCCCAACTGTCGATCTCTTTATCTACCTGATTAGGGGTGCAATGGGCCAGTGTCAGTTCACCCCAAATGCCCTCAGTTCAAACTCGAGCCCTGCAGAGTAGAGAAGGGGGTGGAGGGCTAGACCCTCCTCATTATTGCCACCATCTTGGGGGCCATCAGGGCCATTGGTCACACCCCAGGGCTTCATTAGTCTTTTACATCCACATCCTACTACTTACTAGATCTTTCTGAAAAGTACATGTTTCCTTCTCTAGACTACTCATCTAGTCCAAAATTCAGTAAAGGTAAAAACAAAAGTTCCCTTCTCTGCCATAACCTCCCTGCCCCCACTGTGGCAAGCTTTCAGCTAAGGAGCAACCAGGCTCAGCTGCCAGCCAGGGATCCTGGGAAATACTGATCTCCTGGGGAGGAGGAAATGCATTCCTCCTTCATTGTCTCCTTTCTATAGTTTCCCTCCACAACCATTCCTAGCCCTTCCACTCCCCCACACCCACTATTACAAATATCCCTCCCTTTCTGCTAGCAGATCTATTCTTCATTAATTCACCCATCAGTCTCCCAGAGATGGCTCCTGTGGATTTTTTCCTTAGAATCAAGGGCTAGTTGAGACTATAAGGTCTAAAATAACCATATGAGTAAATATCTAATGGTTGAAGTGGAGGCCCAAGAAAAGATGGTGAAAAGGAGCCTGGGCGATAGTGCAGGAGGGCAGGCACTTGCCTTGCATGAGGTTCCCTTTGCCTTGGCTCTGATATGAATCCCCAGGACTACATATGAGTGCCATCCAGGGTCATTCCTGAGCACAGATCCAAAGATGGCCCCCAAGTACCATCAGGGATGACCCAAAACAAGCAAACAAAAGAAAATTGCAGTATGTGAGGAAAGGTCCTGCATAGGGACTGGAGTCTCCTACTGGGGGCAGTGACCCAGGGAGACCACCAAGTATAGATTAAGAGCCTCCTGTCTCCCAGGTCTCTTTGGCTTCTGGACACATCTATCCTCACCTCTTCTTGGTTCCAAAGAACCTTTGAGGTTCTCCCTCCGTGTCCGCTCTCCAGGATAAATCACCAGGGCAGCAGAGGAGGCCAGAAACTAGAACTGTAGATGCAGAATGGGAGTCACTCTGTTACCTGGGAAGCAGCTCCCCCTTGATAGTGGGTGTGGGTATGGAGGAGAGGGGTGGGAGGGTTAGGAGAAATAGACATTCTCCTGGGAATGTTTTGTGGAACACATCTTAGAAGTGAGAGTCTTCATTGTCTCTCACTGAACTCAGACACTGGACACCTTCCTCCCTCCATGTGGCTGTCCACACAGACTCTCATGGTTCCATCACAATTATTTTTAACTATTTAGCTATTTTAACTATGCATCGCATCCCTGTGCAATGCACAGGGGTAGCTCCTGGCTCTGCACTCAGGAATTACTCCTGGCGGTGCTCAGCATACCATATGGGATGCTGGGGAATCGAACCTGGGTCAGCCTCATGCAAGGCAAATGCCCTACCTTCTGTGCTACCACTCCAGGCCCAGTGATTCTTCTTTTTTTTGGCTTGAGGTCACACCCGGCGATGCACAGGGGAAACTCCTGGCTCTGCACTCAGGAATCACTCCTGGCGGTGCTTCGGGGACCATATAGGATGCTGGAAATCGAACCCGGGTCGGCTCTATGCAAGGCAAACTCACTACTGGCTGTGCTATCGCTCCAGCCCCTTTTAGTCAACTTTTTTTTTTCTTTTTGTGTCACATCCAGCAAAGAGCACGGGTTACTCCTGGCTCTGAACTCAGGAGTCACTCCTGGTGGAGCTCGGGGTACCATATGGGATGCTGGTAATTGAACCCAGATTGGCCGTGTGCAAGGCAAATGCCCTACCTACTGTGCTATCGCTCCAGCCCCTTTTAAGTCAACTTTTTTTTTCTTTTTGGGTCACACTCAGCAATGCACAGAGATTACTTCTGGCTCATACACTCAGGAATTATTCCTGGTGGTGCTCAGGGGACCATATGGGATGCTGGGAATTGAACCTGGGTCGGCCGCACTCAAGGCAAACACCACACCCACTGTGCTATCACTCCAGCTCTGATTCTTCTCTTAACAGCCCGAGGCAACTCAGCACTGCAGTGAATGGGAACTGGAATTAATTGAGGAAATTGTAAATAAGACTCAGCTAGATAGAATTGATTCTTTAGAAAATTTAAATCTGATAGTGTTGTGTACATCACATTCTCCCACTGGCATTCTGGTACAAGGAAGTAATAGTGTGGAATGGAGTTTTTTACATCATAAGCCTGCTAAAAAACTAGCCACTTATGTGTATAAAATATCTCAAATAATTCTAAAAGGAAGAAAAAGAACTAGACAACAGGGAGTGATCCTGCTGAAATTATTGTGCCATTGACCAATGAACAAATTCAAGCACTATGGGAACTTGATGAGAATTGGCAACTTGCTTCTACTGATTATTTGAGCAAAATGTATAACAGCTTTCCAAAGCCAAAGATGTTTCAATTTCTTAAATTTATGAATTGGATTTGGCCTAGCATTATAAAAGCTAAACCTATTAAAGCAGCAGTTACATTCTTTACGGATGCTAACAAAGGAGGAAAGGCTGTTCAGGCTGATATGCAAAATGATAAAGTTTTACAAACTCTATATAATTTGGATCAAAAGAGTGAATTGTTTGCAATTGTTTTTTAAAGAGATTATTTTGAACCCCTCCCATCAACCCTGGGAGTGGAGCGGGTTGAGCTTTCCTCCCCCCGCCCCGCCCCCCCTGACCAGGGCTTCGGCAGCCGAAGACCTCCAGGACCAGCCACCACCATGCTGAGACCACTCTCGGCACACATGAAGGTACTGGCAGAGGGACAAAGCCACGTGGGTTCCGGGGCCAAGATCTCCAAGCCTACTCGGATTCGGGCCGAGCATCCTCCACCCAGATCCTCCAAATTCCAGTAGGCGGGGGTCACACCCACCACCTGGCCCCCTGGCGCCTTGTAATCCCATCAACGGCCAAGACTCAGAGACTATAAAATTCAGCTTTTGGAACCGTGCGGCCGCATTTGCGGCCGCGCAAACTCTTATCAGGACATCTTTTTTATGACATCTTATTATCTCATTCCTACTTTGGACAAACTTGCAGGCTCTCGAATGTAGCCTGCCCACAGGGCAGAGTCTGGCAAACTCCCTGTGGCGTACCAAATATGCCAAATACCAGTAACAATGATGGGTCTCATTCTCCTAAAAAGCCTTGAATATAATCTCAGGGCTAGGATGAAAGAGACGTTACTGGGGCCTGCTCGAGGCAATCGACGAATAACAGGATGATGAAATGAAAAAAATGAAATTTTGAACCAGTTAATATTAGCTTATAGTACTAATCATGGGCTGGAGCCATAGCAGAGCAGATAGGGCCTTTGACTTGCACGTGGCCGACCCGGGTTCTATTCCTCCACCCCTCTCAGAGAGCCCGGCAAGCTACTGAGAGTATCCTGTCTGCACAGCAAAGCCTGGAAAACTACCCGTGGCATATTCAGTATGCCAAAAACATTAACAAGTCTCACGTTGGAGACGTTACGGGTGCCCACTCAGGCAAAAAGATGAACGGGAGGACAGTGCTACAACTATTGTAACATTTAACAATTATTTTTAACTATTACCAGAGCAATAGCAATAGCACAGCGGGTAGGCGTTGCCTTGCACATAGCCGACCCGGGTTCAATTCCTCTGTCCCTCTTAGAAAACTTGGCAAACTACTGAGACTATCCCACCCCCATGGCAGTGTCTGGCAAGCTCCCTGTGGCATATTCAACATGCCAAATCAGTAACAAGTCTTACAATGGAGATTTTATTTACTGGTGCCCGCTCGAGCAAAAGGATGAACACTGGGAGGACAGTGCTGCAGTGATACTCATGATGTCTATGGGGGAGGAGTTGTGCCATAGCTGACAGCGTTTAGGGTTTACTTGTGACTCTACATTCGAGGTCCCTGCTGGCTATGCAAGGGGACCATATGCAGTTCCGAGGATTGAACCAGGTTGGTATCCTTGCTGGCTGTCCTAAATCACCAGTTCCCCCAAGAGAATTCCTTTGGGGGCCTTAAGAGACACATTTAGCAGTGCCAAAACATATTTCAGGCTTTGCACTCAGGGATCATTCCTGGTAGGACTTGGGGTGACCAGGTGGAGGTGGTGGGGATCAAACCCAGGTCGGCCCTGTACAAGGCAAGCCATAGTATTTTTCTGACTTTCACAACAGAATTCTTGATTCATTCCCCTACCTGCCTCACACACGCAGGAAAAATCACTGCCCCACCATGCATATAACACTCTGAATGTCAACAATGTAGAAAGGTCAGTTCTTCTCCCCTGAGTGTGTAATCCTTGAAACTCCCTTTGGGGAGACCAAAATGGTCTCTTTCTCCATGTCCTGCATGCTGATGGCACTAAAGGTAAATGCCTCAGACACCTTCCCCAGCCTCCACCACATGGTGGAAGGAAGTACATCTAGGGTTTTCCAGGGAATGGAGTTTCAAAATCAGCAATTGAACAAATGAGTCAGGAACTGCTGAGAGAGCCTTTATTAGATTGATGGAAAGCTGAGGGATGGAGCCAAGTGCCCCAGGACAGTGAGAGGGAGGAAGCTCCAGGGCAGGGAGGTGGGACCGGAACCGGAACTGCTGGAACAGGAACTGGAACCACTGCTTAGGCAGAGCAGATGAAGGGCAGCTGCGTTGTGCATTGAGCTCGCTTCCAAACGCCATCTAGCAACAGAGCACACAGAGATTTCAGCTGGCTCACAGTCTCTACTGAAGACTTCCCACCTTCATTCCTCGGCCCCATCTAATGCAGCAGATCACTGAGCTCTTCCTGGAAGGAGGTCTCTCTGCAGACACAAACTTTCATCTTCATGCTGACCCCTGATAGACTTGGTGCTATCTTACCATTGCGTCCATTGGGACACTGAGATAGGGTGGGGTAAGCACTTGACTATCTCAGCTGGCAAGAGAAGCCTGACCCCATCCATATGGATTCAGCCACTTCTTGAACCTCCTCATCTCTGGCGTCCACACCTCTCTACAATGGCTAGCAACTTGCCAGCCATGCCCTATTCCCACCTTTTGCCTCAGCCCTGACCCACACCTCCCTTTCTGCCAGCTGCTCTGCCTGTCACATCATTCCTTCACTCTTGTCCCCTGAGGCTCAGAGGAAAGAGTTGACCCATCCTGTTCCCCAGGCCCAGGGTTGAGCTCTGCTGGGAGAAGGAAGAAGGCCACTTGGCCTCTGCCCCCTGCCCATCAAGCTTCTTGGCTCTCTGCCACGGGAAGCCCAGTCAGTCCTCAGAGCCACCTGCTGCTTCTCCAATGTGGGCAGGACCTGGGTTAGGGCGTGTGACCAGGCAGCTCAGAGGGGCAACAGGTCAGAGTCATCCTCCCACCACCACCACCACCACACCCTCACCTGGCGTCCATCCCCTTACCTGGGGTACACAGGGTCACACAGTTTCCTGTTCCACTCCCTGGCTGTCCTGCGGCCCAGTGAGAATAATCCCAACGGCTCCCATCTGCCCATGTATATCTATTGCACTGGTACTAAAGGAAAAATAGTCTGGTCAGAGGACCAACCTTTTCAAGGTAACAGCTACTGTTTCTCTGGTGGCCACAGAGAATGCCTGGTCAGAGCACTGTCTCCATTCTGGACACTCAGTCTGTGAATGAGCTCATCTGAGGACACTCACTCGACCAGGGACATATACGTGGAGACCCATCAGCCCCAAGGGACTACGCAGCCTTCACGGGGTTCAATACACACCCAAGTTTCCTGGGGGTCTTATGAAAATACAGGTTCGGGTTTAGGGTGTTTGGGAGTAGGGCCCTGCTAGGGTTGGACATTCCTAATCAGCCACCTGGGCATGCTGGTACTGCTTGCGTATGAGCACATTGAGTAGAAAACAACTGGGCTCTTACTCGTGTGCCATCACAAACTCGGAGAGAAGGACCCTTAGGGGAACAGAAGCTCCCAGGGAGCTAGTCAATTCCTGGAACATGCATGAATGTTTAGCCACCAGCTGTGTGGGCAAAGTGAGAAGGCAGAGGGAAGGGAAGCTGGACCTGGAACCACCCACCATCTATTGTGCCAGTCCTCGGCAGAGTCAAGTGACGAACATGAAGTCATTTGATGGGACTTTGGAAAGAGAGAGGTGCCCAGAGCGGGATTCTCCTGAGACAGAGCACCCCTGCCTGCTGCTGTCATCATATCAGCTGCAGGGGTGCACGGGGGCATCCTAGGGGCTGTCATAAAGAATTTCCTGTCCCTATGAGGTGGGTGCTCACTTACCCACTGAGAGATGCTGACTCCGATCCAGACCTGGCCTCGGTTAATCTTGCTGGCCAAACTCCTGAGTCGATTATTGGTATTGATATCGTGGATGGAAACAAGGTTGCCCCCGTAGCACCTCTTGCACGTTTCCTGCAGAGAGAAGAGGACAGGGCTTGGAGAATTGACCCTTGGTTTCCCCAGGTCCTGGGTCTCTAGGAAAAGTTCTAGAGTCCTGCTACCTGTCAGAAGCCAGGGACTAGCTTGTCTTCCCTCAGTTCCATGTATTGCTCTTATGTTTATTTTTGGAGTTTGTGTCATGCCCACCTGTGCTCAGAGCTTTCTTCTAGCTGTGAGCTCAGGACTTGCCCCTGGTGGTGCCCGAGATGCTGCCCATAGAACCCGGGGCAGCTGCGTGCAATGCAAGAGCATGCCTCACTGTATTATTGTTCCAGTTCAGATTTTTTTCCCTTCTGGCTGTCTTCCAGAACATCTTTTCTTGTTCTGTTTAGGGGTCACAACCAGCTGTACTCAAGCTTCTTCCTGGCTTTGCCCTTTGGGATCACACACGGCAGGCTCATATATGGCACCAGAGCTTCAACCACAATCAGGCAAGCTCCCTATCCGCTGGACTACCTCCATCCCATGTCGTCAGGAGCATCTTGCAGGGAGTAATATTAATGGCCAGAATAATTACAGCCACCATTTATGGAGTGTTTTGCCATGGTTCTGGGACTGTTCCTGATACTTTCCAGGTCTCAGTCCATTCTCATCCCGAGTCTAGGAACTTGCAGCCACATTTCTTCATGCTGGTTACAGCTGGCAATACCTCTCCTCTCTTTAAAAATGCTGACACAATGTGAAGTTGCCTGCAAGGACACTGTCCAGGAAAGGCCAAGCCAGGGCTTCACACAGGGACATCTGACCCAGAGTATCTCTGGGTCCCCATGTGCACTTTGCACAGCACCAACATTATCATCACCCAGAAATGTGTTATTTGTATAGACACCTAGCTGTTAAGCCAGAGATCTGTGCTTTACCAAATCCTCACGAAGACACAGAGTTGCTCACACAGATTAGATGAACTGCTAGTCAGAAGAAGGGAAAACAGATGCTTGAATCCTCTCTTCTACTCAAGCACAGACACACACACACACACACACACACACACACACACACACACACACACACACACACACACACCCTACCCTGGAACTTCCCAGAAGTTTCTCTGCCGCTTACCTGAGATTCAGAAAATGTCCTGGGCAACTTCACTAATATATAGCGACGGTTCTGCCTCTCAGGATTAATCTGCACTGGAACTGTGTCCTCTTCCTTGTGGCACTCAAAGTTCCCTGGCGCAGCAGCATCTGAATCCAGGTTGTCCTTATCCTCGAAAGTGTCTTGACAGTCAGAAGCCTCTGCCTCCTCTTCCCCTGATGGAATCTCCTCCCCATGCAGTGCCAACTCTCCCTTCTTCTCCCTGGAGCTGTCCAGGTTCTGGCTCAGGTCGGCCTGGTCGTCCAGATAATCTGGAAGGGGGGCATTGTCCCCTGAAGAAGAAGTCACCTGCCATCAGGTTGGACTCTTCTTCTAGGACCATGGACAGTATCACACACACACACACACACACACACAGTTATACACACAGACATACACTCACACACACGCACAGGCATAAATACACACAAACACACACTCACACACACATACACACATGTCTTTCTAGGGCCTCCACGTGGAGGCAAAACTGGGAAGGTCTAACCATATTTGGGCAAAGCCAGATCTCTTGGCCCATGTGTCCAGACAGGTGAGACCCTCACCCCACAGGTCGGTATTTTGGGGGTGTGAGAAGCACCTCTGAGAAGGCCTCTGTCTCCCCAGGAGCCCAAGGAGAGAGCAATGGCTGAGAAGGCCAGGCAGGACTCACCCAGGTGGCGCGCAGACACAGCTCCCAGCAGGAGGGGCAGCAGCAGGAGCACCTTCATCTCTCCAGTCGGGGAAGGGGTCACAGCAGCTTCTCTCCTTGCAGGTGTCGAGTGCCTCTGCACAGTTCCTTGGCACCAAGAACAATAGCTGGTTGATTAAAGGCAAAACTTAAGAGTGTCATTGTCTTTCGATGGACATACTCTTTGCTGTAGCACCTGGAACAGGTCCCAGAGACGTCAGCACCAAGACATAAGTCTCTTTCTCCTAGGACCAGCCACAGTGCTCCTGGGAGCAGCAATTACCACCCCCCGCCCCAGAATCTGAATCCATAGCATGCACCCCCACTGGCTCCGTCCAGGACAGAGGTTGAAGGAGCCTCACCAGTACTGAGAACAAGCCTCCAAGGTGTTGGCCCCATGCATGGGCTCCTGCTTCCTCCCAGCCCTGGACTCTCCACCCTGGGCATGAAGGGATGGGGGGACTCACCTAACGATCTGAGGCGTCCACTCTCAGCACAGATACCTGCTGAGGTCCCGGGGAGGACCCTTATATTAAGCTTTTAGGGAAGTGGGAAGAGGCTGTTATGATTGCTCCAGTTGCAGGACAGGGGGCAGAGTTACTGATAAGAAATTTGCTTAATTGTGGGGGTAGTGGGGGAGATGGAAAGTAAACTGGGGACTCTGGTGCTGAGAAATGTACACTGTGGTGGGATGGGTATTGAAATACTGTTAGACTGGATTCTAGTCATGAACAGCTTTGTAAGGGTCTATCTCAAAGTGATTAAAAGGTAAAGGTAAAGGCCCTCCCCTGGATCGTCGATTTGCTCGAGCGGGCCCAGTAACGTCTCCATTGGAGACTTTGTTGTTACTGTGTCTGGCATATCGAATACTCTTGGTAGCTTGCCAGGCTCTCCGAGAGGGGCGGAGGAATCGATCTCGGGTCGGCCATGTTGGCCGCGTGTAAGGCGAACGCCCTACCGCTGTGCTATCGCTCCATAAAAACTATTTGAAAAAAGAAATTTTCTTACTTGTCATACTTCTGCTTTGATACCAGGGGATATGTATAGAAACCTACCTCCTGGGACTTATTGCCATCTGTGGGTGTCTTGCACCTGAGGTGTCCCCTGAATTTCCACTCACCCCAGGAGTGACGCTGACTGATGTCTCAGCAGAGAGTGGGATAATGGAGGAAAGGTGGGAGAGGCTACAGAGGAACCTCAGGACTCCTGACGTCTTCTGTAGACCAGTTACTTCCTGTGGACCCAAACCAACACATCCTTGGAAGCTCACGTTATCGTCCTCCATCCCAGATAGGAGAGTGAGAATCGAGAGGGACAGTCAGTGACCAGCCAATATTGCAGAGGAATGGGGCTGGAGCGATAGTACAGCAGGTAGGGTGTTTGCCTTGCATGCAGCCAACCCCGCTTCTATTCCCGGCATCTCATATGGTCCCTCGATCACTGCCAGGAGTAATACCTGAGTGCAGAACAAGGAGTAACCCCATGCATCACTGGGTGTGACCCAAAAGACCATATATAGCCATATATATTCATATATATGTATGTATTTTATATATATGTATATATCTCACAGGAAGCAAGGAGCTAAATTTCCAAGGCTTCTCAGCTACTAAGCGTCTCTTTGACCTTCTCTCTTCTTTCACCCTTCTCTCTCCAACTGTATCCCCTTTATTTACCTGGCTCTCCCTCTCCTACACTCATCTTGTAGTGTAAAAGCCTTTGTTCTTGCTTTTCAGCCAAGGTTCTCAACCTTGCACCATTACTGTCCAAAGCCAAGTAATTCCTGGTATACGAAGCATGGTGCAGAGTTTTGTTGAATCCTCGGTCTATCCCTGCTTTAGTCAATAGCTCTTCCCTTAGTCTTGATGATCAAAAATGTCTTGACATGTCTGAGGAGCAGAACTGGCCCAGTTTCCGATTTTTGATCTAGAGCCAACCTCAGCATACCTTCTGCTCATGTGGGATCAGTCGGAATAGGCAGCATCCTGGAGAAGCATTCAGACACTCTGGGGATGCTCATTTCTGTCTCAATCTCTCAAGAGTCTAGGACTAAGAGGAACAGGAGTGAGGTGTTCATTTGGCCCTCGGTAGCAAAGTTAAAGGGGTAAGAATTCAATGCATGCCCCACAAAGGAAGTGTCATGGAGCTTGAGCTCTGCAATAGAATACTCTCATTGCGTTGAGGAGGTCCGGAGTTCAATCCCAAGCACCAATAAAATAATAACAAGAAATTTATTGATACAGATCAAAAAAGCAACCTTTTTTTAAAAATAAAAGCAAGTGCTATAAGCCAATGTTGAACAAAATATCAAAACTTGATTCTATGGGGCTGCTGAGATAGTATGACGAGTAGGGCATTTGCTTTCTATGTGCCATGCTGGATCCAGGTTCAATCCCTGGCATCCTAAATGGTCCCCCTGGGGACCAGTAGGAGTATTTCCTAAGTCCAGGAGTAACCTCTGAGCATTGTCGGGTGTGTCCCCCAATCAAAACCAAAAGCATCAAATCTTGGATCCACCAAGTAGCAGCCATACTCACTGACACTCATAGAGAGGCAAGCCCTGACTTCGATGCCATATCCCAGAGCCAGTGGGTTTGTCCCAGAGGAAAGCTCGGAGGCATCCTTGCTGGGCCATTGGCATTGGCTCCTCAGATTCAGTTCTCAGGGCTACATGGACAGGCAAGGAAGAGTCTGAAAAGACCTGAATTCCACCACACACCCCCTTCTCTGCTTCCCAGGACACCCTCAAATGAAGACATGTCTAAGCAGTTGCTTGTGGGCTGATAGAGCAACAGACTGAATGTTATCTCCATCAAGCCCAACTGCCGATCTTTTTATCTACCTGATTAAGGGTGCAATGGGCCAGTGTCAGTTCACCCCAAACGCCCTCAGTTCAAGCTTGAGTCCTGCAATGTAGAGAAGCGGGTGGAGGACTAGACCCTCCTTATTAGTGTTGCCATGTTGGGGGCCATCAGGGCCATTGGTCACACTCCAGGGGTGGGGATGAACCATCAGACAAACCCTCCGGAGCCAGCCCCAGGATAAGTGGTCCCTTCTGAGTCTTGTTTCATTTGCGCATCCCTGTCCTTAGTCAGCAAGTCTGGACAGGCCTCCCCAGGTCTCGCCTCTGCTCCTCTCTCTCCAACCCCCTTTGACTAAAGGCAGCTCCTCTCCCCAGCGGGGGCCCTGTTCTCTTTGCATTCAAACCCTGGGCAAACACATTCCTAGAACTTCAAAGAATTCCTCCATGACCACAGGGAGGCCTGTCTAATTTGAAACTGCAAATCACACTTTTGAAGCGCCTCCGGGGACCAAACCCAGTGCTTCATTAGACTTTTACATCCTACTACTTACTAGACCTTTCTGAGAATTACACGTTGTCTTCTCTAGACTATTCATCTAGTCCAAAATCCAATAAAGGTAAAAATGACAGGTCCCTCCTCTGCCCTAACATCCCTGCCCCCTTGTGGCAAGCTTTCAGCTAAGGATCAATCCTCCTGGCTTCAGGACAATTGTCATTGTGTATTCTTTTCTTACTATGTTTCCTTATATGCCTCAAATGACTGCAATCATTCCATGCTTATCCTCTCCCTCTGACTCATTTCAGAGGCAGGAGAGTGGGTGTTTTCCAAGGAGGGCAGCTTTGCCCCCAAAAGACCCTCTCCCCAGCCCTTCCTCACGCTTCAGACTTGCAGGTGGGACTCGTGCTGGGGCCTTTGTTCATCCTGAACCTGAAAATGTGTAAACTCAAGCCACTCAGTATCATACCCTCCCAGCAGCTCACTCGATCTGTCAAGCTCTGGGTGCTGAGTCAAGGTGAAGCAGCAGTGCTCACAGCAGCCACTGTGCCTCTGTTAGATTCATGGCATCTCAGCGTAATAGCAAAGCCAGGCAGAGTGGCTCTGGGCTGTTCTGATTGCCATGGGGCCAAAAAGAAATCTGCAATGCACAGAAACTCAGCTGGAACCCAATTCATGCCTCACACCCACAGCTTCTTTCTTTCTTCCCCCTCCCCCACTTTATTTATTTTTTAAATTTAATTTAATTTTTATAAGGTTGTTCCCAATAATTTATTACGTTCAATATTCCAACACCAATCCTGCCACCATTATTTTGAATTTTCCCAACCACCACCCAAGCCTGCCCCAATAGCAGGCCTTAAATAATTTATTCTGTGTTGCTTGTTATGAGTGATTCTCTAAAAATGATCAAAAAGGTGTCCTAAGAAAAGAGTGTGTGAAGGTTGTTGTATCTCACCCTGGTGCCATTGAGCCCTTGTATGAGATTACTAACATGTTACAGATTGAACATTGTGTGCTAATTTTTTTTTCATTGAGATTGGCTGCCTTCTACCTTACATTCTATCCAATGTGTAATCCTCTTGGTACATCAGTGGTATAAAGTATGAGAAGTTGTGTGGCTGCAAGTGCAGCCATGAACTCCAGGAATTCTAAAATTTTAAATAGAGTTAAATTTTTAACTGGCTGGTGACTTTGGGTTCTGAGGCATGAGGCATCTCTACAGCTTGTTGATCTCTTCTGAGATTTATTTGTAAGTCTCCGGATCATGGCCAGTTATTGAGCTTATATGGCGCTAGGGGCAGTT